TAGTCCATCTGCAGGTTCTGCTGTTCTCTTTCCCCTGTTCTCTAGTCCATCTGCAAGTTATGCTGTTCTAATATCTTTCCCCTGTTCTATAGTCCATCTGCAGGTTCTGCTGTTCTAATATCTTTCCCCTGTTCTCTAGTCCATCTGCAGGTTCTGCTGTTCTCTTTCCCCTGTTCTCTAGTCCATCTGCAGGTTCTGCTGTTCTCTTTCCCCTGTTCTCTAGTCCATCTGCAGGTTCTGCTGTTCTCTTTCCCCTGTTCTCTAGTCCATCTGCAGGTTCTGCTGTTCTCTTTCCCCTGTTCTCTAGTCCATCTGCAGGTTCTGCTGTTCTCTTTCCCATGTTCTCTAGTCCATCTGCAGGTTCTGCTGTTCTAATATCTTTCCCCTGTTCTCTAGTCCATCTGCAGGTTCTGCTGTTCTCTTTCCCCTGTTCTCTAGTCCATCTGCAGGTTCTGCTGTTCTAATATCTTTCCCATGTTCTCTAGTCCATCTGCAGGTTCTGCTGTTCTAATATCTTTCCCCTGTTCTCTAGTCCATCTGCAGGTTCTACTGTTCTAATATCTTTCCCCTGTTCTCTAGTCCATCTGCAGGTTCTACTGTTCTAATATCTTTCCCCTGTTCTCTAGTCCATCTGCAGGTTCTACTGTTCTAATGTCTTTCCCCTGTTCTCTAGTCCATCTGCAGGTTCTGCTGTTGGTTGGTCTTGTGACGTTCTGTCTCTGTCTGATCCTGGGCTGTGTGTTAAGCTGGAGGAGAAGTAAGATCTGTCCTCTCCTAGACAAGGTCCCCAGAACACCACCACCTGGTGCTCCTGGTGTCACCATGACCCTGGGTGTACAGACCCAGAGCCCCGCTTCGTCGCCTCCTCCTTCCCAGGCTGGGAGCACCGTGGCCAGGCAGCAGTACGGGGAACTAGACGGGTCGGTCCATGAGTACCCCTCCACCTTCAGCAGCCCTACTCCATCCGATGATGACTTCACCACCCTCCCCCTCTCCACCCACCGCTCCTCCCGTGGAGCCTCCTCTGAGCACAAGGAGCAGCATCTCAAGTCCTACTTCCCCCTACGTCGCTTCTCCACTCCTTCCATCTCATCCATGCTATACAAGCCCATGACCTCCCACCAGTACACAGCGTAGTACACAGCGTTGTAAGAGATCTTCAGTTTCTTGCCAATTTCTCACATGGAATGGCCTTCATTTCTCAGAACAAGAATAGACTGACGAGTTTCAGAAGAAAATTATTTGTTTCTGGCCATTTTGAGCCTGTAATCAAACCCACAATTGCTGATGCTCCAGATACTCAACTAGTCTCAAGAAGGCCAGTTTTATTGCTTCTTTAATCAGCACAACAGTTTTCAGCTGTGCTAACATAATTGCAAAAGGGTTTTCTAATGATCAATTAGCCTTTTTAAAATGATAAACTTGGATTAGCAAACACAACGTGCCATTGGAACACAGGACTGATGGTTGCTGATAATGGGCCTCTGTACGCCTATGTAGATATTCCATAAAAAAATCAGCCGTTTCCAGCTACAATAGCCATTGACAACATTAACAATGTCTACACTGTATTTCTGATCAATTTTATGTTATTTTAATGGACAAAAAAAAAACTTTTGAACGGTAGTGTACACAATCCATGTCTCAATTGTCTCAAGGTTTAAAGATCCTTCTTTAACCTGTCTCCTCCCCTTCACCTACACTGATTGAAGTGGATTTAACAAGTGACACAAATAAGGGATCATAGCTTTCAACTGGATTCACCTGTTCAGTCTATGTCATGGAATGAGCAGGTGTTCTTAATGTTTTGTCCACTCAATGTATTGCGATATTTCACGTGATATCATATATCTATCCTGAATTCATCCCTGTTTGTGTTTGTCATGAAATGCCGTTATTAATAAGGTATTAATCATTAGTGTGGTTATTTACTGCTTGTGAATGGTTAAGTAAGTATAAGTCCTTTTTTACATTTTATTTCAACTTTATTTAACCAGGTAAGCCAGTTGAGAACAAGTTCTCATTTACAACTGCGACCTGGCCAAGATAAAGCAAAGCAGTGCGATAAAAACAACAACAACACAGAGTTACATATGGGGTAAACAAAACATAAAGTCAAAACCACAACAGAAAATCTATATACAGTGTGTGCAAATGTAGTAAGTTATGGCGGTAAGGCAATAAATAGGCCATAGTGCAAAATAATTACAATCGAGTAATTTGAGATCCTTGAGTAGGTACCCTTCAAATAAAGTGTTTGATCGATATGTATATCAGTCTCTCTAGACTACCATGTGGTGATCAACCTGCGCCATGATGTGGCGGTGATCGGTGCCAAGGAGACGAAGGGTGTGGGCGGAGCCAACAACACGGTGAGGAACTCCCCCTTCCTGTTTGACCTGCCCCCTGGCGATGTCAGTACACTACCCATCATGATGGAGTTCATCGTCATGCAGGTAGGAGTTACTTTCCTCTGCGTTTCGTACAACATATAATGACCTACCTCACATTGGATATAGTGATGCCTCTATAAATATAGGTGGCTGGATGTACTGTTTTTGTCGTGCAATATTTGAAAAAGACCCTCTGAAAAAATATACAGAAATAAAATAAACCCTTCTATTTACGTTTGAGTCATTTAGCGACTTAGTCAGTGCATTCAACTGAAGCAACAACCACAGAAAGATCACAACGATTGCCATTGCCAGTAAAACCTTCTTCTTCCCCCCTATAACCCTCTACATTGTAACAGCAGGGTGCTGGGGAGAGTTCTGATTGGTTCAGAGGCTCCAGAGACAGGAGGGATGTGTTTAGGGATGTGTTTAGCCAGGGTCAGGTGGAGAGGGAACGCTGACACACCGTCCAACGAGAACCTCTGTAAGACAATAAGAACCAATCAGACTCCAGAACATTGGGATACTAACCCAATGAGCGGACAGATCCAGTCAATTATACTCCAGAATTCTGAGATACCAACCAACCAGAACCTCTGTAGGACATCATCAGCCAATATCTGATGTTCTCTGGACAATGGAATATCCAACCTGAGACAGCACAGTTCAGCTTTGGCCCTGATGGACTCAAAACAAGCTGAGGACAGCCATACCATAAGAATATCCATTGGCTAGAAAGCCATGAAGACATTTTACATTTACATTTTAGTAATTTAGCAGACGCTCTTATCCAGAGCGACTTACAGTTAGTGAGTGCATACATTTTCATACTGGCCCCCCCTCTTCAGATCAACGTCTGGGATTGAGCAGATCATAGACTGCTAATATAGCTGGATGGAGTGATACTCTACTACACAGGTATGTGTTGAGCATGACTTTGGAGAGACACTTGAAAGGAAAACTTGCATGTTTTTTGGACTGGCATTTGAACTGGAGAATACAAGCATTGAATAGAATAGAGTCGTACCGCTTGGTGTAGGGACTGTCTATATATGTAGCTATGTACTGTGTATATACAGTGCCTTCGGAAAGTATTCAGACCCCTTGACATTTTCCACATTTTGTTACGTTACAGCCTTGTTCTAAAATGGATGAAATAGTTTTTTTCCCCTCATCAATCTACACACAATAGCCCATAATGACAAAGTAAAAACTGGCTTTATAAATCTTTGCAAAAACTGAAATATCACATTTACATGAACGAGCAGTATGGCTGGTGGCATTGTCATGCTGGAGGGTCATGTCAGGATGAGCCTGCAGGAAGGGTACCACATGAGGGAGGAGGATGTCTTCCCTGTAACGCACAGCGTTGAGATTGCCTGCAATGACAAGCTCAGTCCGATGATGCTGTGACCCTCCACCTCCAAATCGATCCCGCTCCAGAGTACAGGCCTCGGTGTAACGCTCATTCCTTCTACGATAAACGCAAATCCGACCATCACCCCTGGTGAGACAAAACCGTGACTCGTCAGTGTAGAGCACTTTTTGCCAGTCCTGTCTGGTCCAGCGACGGTGGGTTTGTGCCCATAGGCGACGTTGTTGCCGGTGATGTCTGGTGAGGACCTGCCTTACAACAGGCCTACAAGCCCTCAGTCCAGCCTCTCTCAGCCATTTTGAGCACTGATGGAGGGATTGTGCGTTCCTGGTGTAACTTGGGCAGTTGTTGTTGCTATCCTGTACCTGTCCCACAGGTGTGATGTTCGGATGTACCGATCCTGTGCAGGTGTTGTTACACGTGGTCTGCCACTGCGAGGACGATCAACTGTCCGTCCTGTCTCCCTGTAGCGCTGTCTTAGGTGTCTCACAGTACGGACATTGTATTTTATTGCCCTGCTAACATCATGCAGCATGCCTAAGGCACGTTCATGCAGATGAGCAGGGACCCTGGGCATCTTTCTTTTGGTGTTTTTCAGAGTCAGTAGAAAGGCCTCTTTAGTGTCCTAAGTTTTCATAACTGTGACCTTAATTGCCTACCGTCTGTAAGCTGTTAGTGTCTTAACGACCGTTCCACAGGTGCATGTTCATTAATTGTTTATGGTTCACTGAACAAGCATGGGAAACATTGTTTAAACCCTTTACAATGAAGATCTGTGAAGTTATTTGGATTTTTACAAATTATCTTTGAAAGACAGGGTCCTGAAAAAGGGACGTTTCTTTTTTTGCTGAGTTTGTTTATATATATATATATATATATATATATATATGTGTGTGTGTATATATATATATATATATATATATATATATATATGTAGCTATGTACTGTATATGTATGCAATGATGTGTATATATATATAATTAGGCCTCATATCATACGAGTGCATTACACTGCATACAATTATTTTTGTAGCTTTGTGAGTTGTACTTTATCTGAAATAAAAGTGTTGTTCAACCCTAGGCTAATGATATCTTACATTTGTCCTTATTTAGGGAGTTGGATGACAGATTGTTTGCAATTCATTTAGATGAGAACAATCATGATAGTAAATTTGATCACTGATCGTGATCGTGAGCATTTTTTTATTACAACAAAATGAGAATATCACACACCTCCAGAAACGTTATGCTGTATGTGGTTAACGTTAGTTTTAATGTATTAGCCACATTAACATTGCTACTAATAAACAGGCCTTTAGGAATGCATCTGGATCCTTAGCTTTTTCCAGCTTGTATAGCGACAATGTCATACAGAAAATCATCATCCGTTGTCATCATCTCATTATTATAAATGGAACACATTTCACCTCCTTGTCTCCTCATAATCATCAACAAAAGCACCACATGTATAACCACTAATCAGTATATTGACATTAACACTGGTCTGTAAGACTTTGGATTTGTATCACTTGGTGGCTAAAGTAAGACTTCACACAAAGACGGACTCCATTAGCTTCGATGTTTGCAGAGCTGTAGGATGTGAGCAATATAGTGGAAGATCTACGACTACACTGCTTTTATACGTATAAAGACGCTTCAGATCTGAAAACCTTGGAGTAGTTGGGGCCAAGGGGAAGGGGTAGGGAGCGAATTAGGACCAGGTATCACCCGCCTGTAGTATGCCTTAGCCACAGCCTCCATCTTCCTCTTCCTCTTCCTCCAATTCAGGGCTGCCGATCTGCACCTGTCTAGCCAGGAACAGTCCATCTTCCCAGCGGGGGGGTGGTGGTGGTGATGATGATCCCCGCTGCATGTCTCTCTCCATGGGACGATCCGATAGAAGAGGCACTCCGCTCGCTGACGTGGTCTTGTCTGACGAGTTAGACGCTGTGGCACCCAACCCCTGGATCTGCGGCTGAAACCTTAGCTTGGCTGGGTCAGGACAACATGGAAATCAAACCCAACTAAAAGTGTTGTGTAGTTGGAAAAAGTCCAAGGTCCAAGCACCCAAGTGGATTTTAGATGTAACGGGCATTGATCATTTTAAAGACAGCTATGCATTTTCGGGCATTAAGACCTTCCTCTGGGTTTTACTGTGACCTCGCTTGGTTAGGTGAGGTCAACATAACAGCACACATGGAATCAGATTGGGAATCAGATTAATTCAACGATTGAAATGATTTTTTCAGTTCAGTAGATTACGGTCTGTTTTGTAATGTTGTCAGACCCACACATGAACATTGCCGAAGCCATTTCAAAGGTCAGAGAAACAGCGTAGATCCAGAACAGAGGCTTACCCACAACCACTCTGAGGGAGGGCATGGTCAAGTGATGTCGTAATGCTTGTTTCAACCTGGAAGCACACCATGGGAAATAAGTGCTGTAATGCTTTCCTGTGTAGTCTCAAAATGTGGTTGTGGGCGCTGAGATTGTTTCATGTGTTGTCCTCTCTAAGTTCTCTTCACCCGTACGTACACTTTAATATATCCAGAAAAACAAACAAACTCAAACTTGGAAGGAAGCCTGGGCATTTTTGGATTACTTTATCTCAGTTTGATTGCCAAATGCTTACAAAGCTACAAAACAGACAATTATACTGTACTAATCCAGTTATGGAAGTGGTTGTTATGAACCGGTATGCCCCTGTTCTGGATGACATAAGCACATGTATTTTAAGGACACACATTAATCCCAAGAAGTGAATATTCAGCCAGCAGATCCAATGGTTAAGGCTAATCATAGGGATAGAAATTGATTGCGGTATGGTTAAGGTAAGGTTAGGGTTAGGCATAGCCAGGGTTAGCAAACTGCAATCTGAAACCATTCCAAATCTGCCAGCTGTAAACACACTGCCAGCTACCTAATCCCAAAGCATCATTCCCACTGAGCTCTCTCTCCCCCACACACAGCAGTGGGACCACAGATCACGATCAGCAGCCTAGATAGATTTATAATGGGATCATTGCACTGATTCATTCACATCTTTCACCTTTCTGGAGGTTCTCATTTCTCTCTTTCAGATTGCTGATTTCCACACTCATGCCTGACATCTGGTATGGGAGGGAAACGGTTGGGTTTTTAGGCTGAACTAAAGGTTGAAGCTACAGATCTGCTCCTTTAATTTGACCAGGCTTTCTACACTCTTAGAAAAAAGGGTTCCAAAATGGTTCTTTGGTTGTCCCCATTGGTTCCAGGTAAAACCCTTTTTGGTTCCAGGTAGAACCCTCTACATGGAACCCAAAACGGTTCTACTTCAAACCAAAAGGGTTCTACCTGGAACCAAAAAGGGTTCTTCAAACGGTTCTCCTATGGGTACAGCCGAATAACCCTTTTTAGGTTCTAGATAGCACCTTTTTTTCAAAAGAGTGTATGGCAAAGGAATCATCATGCCAGTTTCCTCAGCCACAAATGGGATTATTCATCCCAGTATAGCGAGCGTCATATGTGAGATGATCGTTGTGCTGCATTTCACAGAGGAGTGATTATGGACTGACACTCTCTCTGTCTCTGTCTCTGTCTCTGTCTCTGTCTCTGTGTGTGTTTGATTAAGACAGAAGCCAGGATTAACTAAGTCTGCACATATGTGTGTTTATATGTCGAGGTGAAATCTGCTGGATGACTTGCAAGTTAGGGGCACATCAGTGCGTAATTTAATTTCAGTGCGTAAGCTGCTACATGCAATATCATGCTGCCATGAATGATATTAGTTTCTGCATGTTGGGTCCAGATGCTAATTTATCACTCAGTTAGTATAGTAAGCACCCGGGGGTGGCATTATTAAGGCCTGTCATAAAAAGCAGTATAAACTAAAGGCTTTATAGGGTCATTCATTAAGTATTCATAAACACTGCATAAATGCAGTCACACTACATATTTGAAGGATTTCCTACCATGTGGGTCTTGCAGTGGAGTACCTCCCTAAGGCGAGTCACCTCCTCCTCCACCTCCCTCTCTAGTTCCTCCCTCTCTGGGTCCTCCTCCTCTTCCTGCTCCTCAGACACAGGCCCCAGTCCTGCTCCCTGCTGCTGCTCCCTCATCACCTCCTTCTCTCTCTTCCTCTGGCTGTGTAGTGGGTCAAGGGAGTTCTGAATTGGTAGAAAGAGGAGAAGGACTGAAAAGCAAGACACTCATATACCTGCTACCTCCTACATATAGTATACCTGCTACATATACCTGCTACATACACTACCAGTCAAAAGTTTGGACACACCTACTCATTCAAGGGTTTTTCTTTATTTTTACTATTTTGTACATTGTAGAATAATAGTGAAGACATCAAAACTATGAAATAGCACATTTGGAATCATGTAGTAACCAAAAAAGTGTTAAACAAATCAACATATATTTGAGATTTGAAATTCTTCAACTAGCCACCCTTTGCCTTGATGACAGCTTTGCACACTCTTGGCATTTTCTCAACCAGCTTCATGAGGTAGTCACTTGGAATGCATTTCATTTAACAGGTGTGACTTCTTAAAAGTTAATTTGTGGAATTTATTTCATTTTTAATGCGTTTGAGCCAATCAGTTGTGTTGTGACAAGGTAGGGGGGGTATACAGAAGATAGCCCTATTTGGTAAAAGACCAAGTCCATATTATGGCAAGAACAGCTCAAATAAGCAAAGAGAAAGACAGTCCATCATTACTTTAAGACATGAAGGTCAGTCATCCGGAAAATTTCAAGAACTTTGAAAGTTTCTAGAAGTGCAGTCGCAAAAACCATCAAGTGCGATGATGAAACTGGCTCTCATGAGGACCGCCACAGGAATGGAAGACCCTGAGTTACCTCTGCTGCAGAGGATACATTCATTAGAGTTACCAGCCTCAGAAATTGCAGCCCAAATAAATGTTTCATAGAGTTCAAGTAACAGACACATCTCAACAACGACTATTCAGAGGAGACTGTGTGAATCAGGCCTTCATGGTCGAATTGCTGCAAAGAAACCACTACTAAAGGACACCAATCAGAAGAAGAGACCTGCTTGGGCCAGGAAACACGAGCAATGGACATTAGACCAGTGGAAATTTGTCCTTTGGTCTAGAGTCCAAATTGGAGATTTTTGGTTCCAACCGCCGTGTCTTTGTGAGACTCGGTGTGGGTTAGCGGATGATCTCCGCATGTGTAGTTCCCATCGTAAAGCATGGAGGAGGAGGTGTTATGGTGCTTTGCTGGTGACACGGTCTGAGATGTATTTATAATTCAAGGCACACTTAACCAGCATGGCTACCACAGCATTCTGCAGCCCTACGCCATCCCATCTGGTTTGGGCTTAGTGGGACTATCATTTGTTGTTCAACAGGACAATGACCCAACACACCTCCAGGCTGTGTAAGGGCTATTTTACCATGAAGGAGAGCGATGGAGTGCTGCATCAGATGACCTGGCATCCACAATCCCCCGACCTCAATCCAATTGAGATGGTTTGGGATGAGTCGGACCTCAGAGTGAAGGAAAAGCAGCCAACAAGTGCTCAGCATATGTGGGAACTCCTTCAAGACGGTTGGAAAAGCATTCCAGGTGAAGCTGGTTGAGAGAATGCCAAGAGTGCGCAAAGCTGTCATCAAGGCAAAGGGTGGCTATTTAAAGAATCTCAAACATAAAACATATTTTGATTTGTTTAACACTTTTTTGGTTACTACATGATTCCATATGTGTTATTACATAGTTTTGATGTCTTCACTATTATTCTACAATGTAAAAAAAACTAATCAATAAAGAAAAACCCTTGAATGAGTAGGTGTGTCCGGAATTTTGACTTGTAGAGTACCTGCTACATATACCTGCTACATATACCTACTACATATAGCTGCTACATACACTACCAGTCAAAAGTTTGGACACACCTACTCATTCAAGGTTTTTCTTTATTTTTACTATTTTTTACATTGTAGAATAACTAAATTCCACAAATTAACTTTTAAGAAGGAACACCTGTTAATTGAAATGCATTCCAGGTGACTACCTACATATAAATTACTACATATACAGTACCGTAACTTACTACATATACAGTACTGTAAATTACTACATATACAGTACTGTAACTTACTACATATACAGTACTGTAAATTATTACATATACAGTACTGTAACTTACTACATATACAGTACCGTAACTTACTACATATACAGTACTGTAAATTACTACATATACAGTACTGTACATGGGATCAACTGAACTTCAGTACCTATTTTTATCCTTCCCAGCTATCATATTGGCTCAACCCCGTCTTGACTCTCACTTACAATAAACACACATCTGAGCTTACCTTGATGACCTTCGACTTCGGCACCCAGTCTTGCAGTGAGCGACCTCCTCCTCTTCCACTCTGATCTCCTCCTGCTGATCTGCCGTAGACCTGACCCAACTGCTCACGCTCCTTAAATAGACTCTTCAGCTGGTCATTCAAACAATAACATAACTAATCAATAATACACCAAAGTGTGTAACTATTCAATAATACACCAAAGTGTGTAACTAATCAATACTACACCAAAGAGAGGAGCTTCTGTAGGTATAACAGACACACAACAATCCTCATAAGCCTACTATACCTGTTCTGTTCTAATAGTCTACTGTACCTGTTCTGTTCTAATAGTCTACTGTACCTGTTCTGTTCTAATAGTCTACTGTACCTGTTCTGTTCTAATAGTCTACTGTACCTGTTCTGTTCTAATAGTCTACTGTACCTGTTCTAATAGTCTACTGTACCTGTTCTGTTCTAATAGTCTACTGTACCTGTTCTAATAGTCTACTATACCTGTTCTGTTCTAATAGTCTACTGTACCTGTTCTAATAGTCTACTGTACCTGTTCTGTTCTAATAGTCTACTATACCTGTTCTGTTCTAATAGTCTACTGTACCTGTTCTAATAGTCTAACTGGCACGTTCTGTTCTAATCGTCTCTATAGCCTGTTCTGTTCTAATAGTCTACTGATACTGTTCTGTTCTAATAGTCTACTGTACCTGTTGTTCTAATAGTCTACTGTACCTGTTCTGTTCTAATAGTCTACTGTACCTGTTCTGTTCTAATAGTCTACTGTACCTGTTCTGTTCTAATAGTCTACTGTACCTGTTCTGTTCTAATAGTCTACTGTACCTGTTCTGTTCTAAAAGTCTACTGTACCTTTTTCTGTTCTAATATTTCTACTGTACCTGTTCTGTTCTAAAAGTCTACTTTGCCTGTTCTGTTCTAAAAAGTCTACTGTACCCGTTCTGTTCTAATAGTCTACGGGACCTGTTCTGTTCTAAAAGTCTACTATACCTGTTTTTGTTCTAATATCTACTATACCTGTTCTGTTCTAATATCTACTGTACCTTTCTTTCTAATAGTCTACTGTACCTGTTTTTGTTCCCAATAGTCTACTATACCTGTTTCTGTTCTAATAGTCTACTGTACCTGTTCTGTTCTAATATCTTTCTGTACCTGTTCTGTTTCTAATAGTCTACTGTACCTGTTTCTGTTCTAATAGTCTACTATACCTGGGTTCCCGTTTTTAATGGGCCCACTATACCTGTTATGTTTCTAATAGTCTACTGTACCTGTTCTAATAGTCTACTGTACCTGTTCTGTTCTAATAGTCTACTATACCTGTTTCTGTCTGCTAATAGTCTACTTACCTGTTCTGTTCTAATAGTCTACTTACCTGTTCTGTTCTAATAGTCTACTGTACTGTTCTGTTCTAATAGTACCTGTTCTGTTTCTAATAGTCTACTATACCTCCTGTTCTGTTCTAATAGTTCTAACTGTAAACCTGTTTCTAATAGTCTATTGTACCTGTTCTGTTCTAATAGTCTACTGTACCTGTTCTGTTCTAATAGTCTACTGTACCTGTTCTGTTCTAATAGTCTACTGTACTGTTCTGTTCTAATAGTCTACTATACCTGTTCTGTTCTAATAGTCTACTATACCTGTTCTGTTCTAATAGTTCTACTGTACCTGTTCTGTTCTAATAGTCTACTGTACCTGTTCCTGTTCTAATATTCTACTGTACCCGTTCTAATAGTCTACTGTACCTGTTCTGTTCTAATATTCTACTGTACCTGTTCTGTTCGAATAGTCTACTGTACCTGTTCTGTTCTAATAGTATACTATACCTGTTCTGTTCTAATAGTCTACTGTACCTGTTCTAATAGTCTACTGTACCTGTTCTGTTCTAATAGTCTACTGTACCTGTTCTGTTCTAATAGTCTACTGTACCTGTTCTGTTCTAATAGTCTACTATACATGTTCTGTTCTAATAGTCTACTATACCTGTTCTGTTCTAATAGTCTACTGTACCTGTTCTGTTCTAATAGTCTACTGTACCTGTTCTGTTCTAATAGTCTACTATACCTGTTCTGTTCTAATAGTATACTATACCTGTTCTGTTCTAATAGTCTACTGTACCTGTTCTAATAGTCTACTGTACCTGTTCTGTTCTAATAGTCTACTGTACCTGTTCTGTTCTAATAGTCTACTGTACCTGTTCTGTTCTAATAGTCTACTGTACCTGTTCTGTTCTAATAGTCTACTGTACCTGTTCTGTTCTAATAGTCTACTGTACCTGTTCTATTCTAATAGTCTACTATACCTGTTCTGTTCTAATAGTCTACTATACCTGTTCTGTTCTAATAGTCTACTGTACCTGTTCTAATAGTCTACTGTACCTGTTCTGTTCTAATAGTCTACTATACCTGTTCTGTTCTAATAGTCTACTATACCTGTTCTGTTCTAATAGTCTACTGTACCTGTTCTGTTCTAATAGTCTACTATACCTGTTCTGTTCTAATAGTCTACTGTACCTGTTCTGTTCTAATAGTCTACTGTACCTGTTCTGTTCTAATAGTCTACTGTACCTGTTCTGTTCTAATAGTCTACTGTACCTGTTCTGTTCTAATAGTCTACTATACCTGTTATGTTCTAATAGTCTACTGTACCTGTTCTGTTCTAATAGTCTACTGTACCTGTTCTGTTCTAATAGTCTACTGTACCTGTTCTGTTCTAATAGTCTACTATACCTGTTCTGTTCTAATAGTCTACTGTACCCGTTCTGTTCTAATAGTCTACTGTACCTGTTCTGTTCTAATAGTCTACTGTACCTGTTCTGTTCTAATAGTCTACTGTACCTGTTCTGTTTAATAGTCTACTATACCTGTTCTGTTCTAATAGTCTACTATACCTGTTCTGTTCTAATAGTCTACTGTACCTGTTCTGTTCTAATAGTCTACTGTACCTGTTCTGTTCTAATAGTCTACTGTACCCGTTCTAATAGTCTACTGTACCTGTTCTGTTCTAATATTCTACTGTACCTGTTCTGTTCTAATAGTCTACTGTACCTGTTCTGTTCTAATAGTCTACTATACCTGTTCTGTTTAATAGTCTACTATACCTGTTCTGTTCTAATAGTCTACTATACCTGTTCTGTTCTAATAGTCTACTATACCTGTTCTGTTCTAATAGTCTACTGTACCTGTTCTGTTCTAATAGTCTACTGTACCTGTTCTGTTTAATAGTCTACTATACCTGTTCTGTTCTAATAGTCTACTATACCTGTTCTGTTCTAATAGTCTACTGTACCTGTTCTGTTCTAATAGTCTACTGTACCTGTTCTGTTCTAATATTCTACTGTACCCGTTCTAATAGTCTACTGTACCTGTTCTGTTCTAATATTCTACTGTACCTGTTCTGTTCTAATAGTCTACTGTACCTGTTCTGTTCTAATAGTCTACTATACCTGTTCTGTTCTAATAGTCTACTGTACCTGTTCTAATAGTCTACTGTACCTGTTCTGTTCTAATAGTCTACTGTACCTGTTCTGTTCTAATATTCTACTGTACCTGTTCAGTCACCAGTCTTCTCTGTTTATCCTGGTCTACTATGTTATCCACCAGTTTCTCTTCCTGTTTCTCTTCCTCTTTCTTGCTGCCAGCAGCTGCTTTCTGTTGTTTAGCCTGTAGATAAGGAAAGGCAACACATATTGTCTGCATAAACTGACTCTTTCTCTATAGCTTTAATGAGACATGGTAGTGTTTTACCCTTGCCAGGTCCCAGATCTTGTCATTTGGCAAAGCGATCTGGGACCAAGTTAAAGGTTTCTAGTACTAGAGTTTGGGACACTGATGTGTGTAGTCTACCTGATGGAACACTGTCTATATGTATAGTCTATCTGATGGAACACTGTCTATATGTATAATCCACTTGATGGAACACTGTCTATATGTATAATCTATCTGATGGAACACTGTCTATATGTATAATCCACTTGATGGAACACCGTCTATATGTATAGTCTATCTGATGGAACACTGTCTATATGTATAATCCACTTGATGGAACACTGTCTATATGTATAGTCTATCTGATGGAACACTGTCTATATGTATAACCTACCTATCTGATGGAACACTGTCTATATGTATAGTCTACCTGATGGAACACTGTCTATATGTATAGTCTACCTGATGGAACACTGTCTATATGTATAATCCACTTGATGGAACACCATCTATATGTATAGTCTATCTGATGGAACACTGTCTATATGTATAATCCATTTGATGGAACACTGTCTATATGTATAATCTACCTGATGGAACACTGTCTATATGTATAACCTACCTATCTGATGGAACACTGTCTATATGTATAGTCTACCTGATGGAACACTGTCTATATGTATAATCCACTTGATGGAACACTGTCTATATGTATAATCCACTTGATGGAACACTGTCTATATGTATAGTCTACCTGATGGAACACTGTCTATATGTATAGTCTATCTGATGGAACCCTGTCTATATGTATAGTCTACCTGATGGAACACTGTCTATATGTATTGTCTACCTGATGGAACACTGTCTATATGTATAGTCTACCTGATGGAACACTGTCTATACAGTGGGGAAAAAAAGTATTTAGTCAGCAACCAATTGTGCAAGTTCTCCCACTTAAAAAGATGAGAGAGGCCTGTAGTTTTCATCATAGGTACACGTCAACTATGACAGACAAATTGAGAAAATAAAATCCAGAAAATCACATTGTAGGATTTTTAATGAATTTATTTGCAAATTATGGTGGAAAATAAGTATTTGGTCACCTACAAACAAGCAACATTTCTGGCTCTCACAGACCTGTAACTTCTTCTTTAAGAGGCTCCTCTGTCCTCCACTCGTTACCTGTATTAATGGCACCTGTTTGAACTTGTTATCAGTATAAAAGACACCTGTCCACAACCTCAAACAGTCACACTCCAAACTCCACTATGGCCAAGACCAAAGAGCTGTCAAAGGACACCAGAAACAAAATTGTAGACCTGCACCAGGCTGGGAAGACTGAATCTGCAATAGGTAAGCAGCTTGGTTGGAAGAAATCAACCGTGGGAGCAATTATTAGGAAATGGAAGACATACAAGACCACTGATAATCTCCGTTGATCTGGGGCTCCACGCAAGATCTCACCCTGTGGGGTCAAAATGATCACAAGAACGGTGAGCAAGAATCCCAGAACCACACGGGGGGGACCTAGTGAATGACCTGCAGAGAGCTGGGACCAAAGTAACAAAGCCTACCATCAGTAACACACTACGCCGCCAGGGACTCAAATCCTGCAGTGCAAGACGTGTCCCCCTGCTTAAGCCAGTACATGTCCAGGCCCATCTGAAGTTTGCTAGAGTGCATTTGGATGATCCAGAAGAGGATTGGGAGAATGTCATATGGTCAGATGAAACCAAAATAGAACTTTTTGGTAAAAACTCAACTCGTCGTGTTTGGAGAACAAAGAATGCTGAGTTGCATCCAAAGAACACCATACCTACTGTGAAGCATGGGGGTGGAAACATCATGCTTTGGGGCTGTTTTTCTGCAAAGGGACCAGGATGACTGATCCGTGTAAAGGAAAGAATGAATGGGGCCATGTATCATGAGATTTTGAGTGAAAACCTCCTTCCATCAGCAAGGGCATTGAAGATGAAACGTGGCTGGGTCTTTCAGCATGACAATGATCCCAAACACACCGCCCGGGCAACGAAGGAGTGGCTTCGTAAGAAGTATTTCAAGGTCCTGGAGTGGCCTAGCCAGTCTCCAGATCTCAACCCTTAGAAAATCTTTGGAGGGAGTTGAAAGTCCGTGTTGCCCAGCGACAGCCCCAAAACATCAATGCTCTAGAGGAGATCTGCATGGAGGAATGGGCCAAAATACCAGCAACAGTGTGTGAAAACCTTGTGAAGACTTACAGAAAACGTTTGACCTGTGTCATTGCCAACAAAGGGTATATAACAAAGTATTGAGAAACTTTTGTTATTGACCAAATACTTATTTTCCACCATAATTTGCAAATAAATTCATTAAAAATCCTACAATGTGATTTTCTGGATTTTTTTTTCTCAATTTGTCTGTCATAGTTGACGTGTACCTATGATGAAAATTACAGGCCTCTCTCATCTTTTTAAGTGGGAGAACTTGCACAATTGGTGGCTGACTAAATACTTTTTTCCCCCACTGTATATATAATCTACCTGATGGAACACTGTCTATATGTATAGTCTACCTGATGGAACACTGTCTATATGTATAACCTACCTATCTGATGGAATACTGTCTATATGTATAATCTACCTGATGGAACACTGTCTATGTATAACCTACCGATCTGATGGAACACTGTCTATATGTATAACCTACCCTCACTGATGGAACACTGTCTATATGTATAGTCTATCTGATGGAACACTGTCTATATGTATAATCTACCTGATGGAACACTGTCTATGTATAACCTACCGATCTGATGGAACACTGTCTATATGTATAACCTACCTATCTGATGGAACACTGTCTATATGTATAGTCTATCTGATGGAACACTGTCTATATGTATAATCTACCTGATGGAACACTGTCTATGTATAACCTACCGATCTGATGGAACACTGTCTATATGTACAGTGGGGAAAAAAAGTATTTAGTCAGCCACCAATTGTGCATATTTTCCCACTTAAAAAGATGAGAGAGGCCTGTAATTTTCATCATAGGTACACGTCAACTATGACAGACAAATTGAGAAAACAAAATCCCGAAAATCACATTATAGGATTTTTTATGAATTTATTTGCAAATTATGGTGGAAAATAAGTATTTGGTCACCTACAAACAAGCAACATTTCTGGCTCTCACAGACCTGTAACTTCTTCTTTAAGAGGCTCCTCTGTCCTCCACTCGTTACCTGTATTAACGGCACCTGTTTGAACTTGTTATCAGTATAAAGGACACCTGTCCACAACCTCAAACAGTCACACTCCAAACTCCACTATGGCCAAGACCAAAGAGCTGTCAAAGGACACCAGAAACAAAATTGTAGACCTGCACCAGGCTGGGAAGACTGAATCTGCAATAGGTAAGCAGCTTGGTTTGAAGAAATCAACTGTGGGAGCAATTATTAGGAAATGGAAGACATACAAGACCACTGATAATCTCCCTCGATCTGGGGCTCCACGCAAGATCTCACCACGTGGGGTCAAAATGATCACAAGAACGGTGAGCAAAAATCCCAGAACCACACGGGGGGACCTAGTGAATGACCTGCAGAGAGCTGGGACCAAAGTAACAAAGCCTACCATCAGTAACACACTACGCCGCCAGGGACTCAAATCCTGCAGTGCAAGACGTGTCCCCCTGCTTAAGCCAGTACATGTCCAGGCCCGTCTGAAGTTTGCTAGAGTGCATTTGGATGATCCAGAAGAGGATTGGGAGAATGTCATATGGTCAGATGAAACCAAAATATAACTTTTTGGTAAAAACTCAACTCGTCGTGTTTGGAGGACAAAGAATGCTGAGTTGCATCCAAAGAACACCATACCTACTGTGAAGCATGGGGATGGAAACATCATGCTTTGGGGCTGTTTTTCTGCAAAGGGACCAGGACGACTGATCCGTGTAAAGGAAAGAATGAATGGGGCCATGTATCGTGAGATTTTGAGTGAAAACCTCCTTCCATCAGCAAGGGCATTGAAGATGAAACGTGGCTGGGTCTTTCAGCATGACAATGATCCCAAACACACTGCCCGGGCAACGAAGGAGTGGCTTCGTAAGAAGCATTTCAAGGTCCTGGAGTGGCCTAGCCAGTCTCCAGATCTCAACCCCATAGAAAATCTTTGGAGGGAGTTGAAAGTCTGTGTTGCCCAGCGACAGCCCCAAAACATCACTGCTCTAGAGGAGATCTGCATGGAGGAATGGGCCAAAATACCAGCAACAGTGTGTGAAAACCTTGTGAAGACTTACAGAAAACGTTTGACCTGTGTCATTGCCAACAAAGGGTATATAACAAAGTATTGAGAAACTTTTGTTATTGACCAAATACTTATTTTCCACCATAATTTGCAAATAAATTCATTAAAAATCCTACAATGTGATTTTCTGGATTCTTTTTTCTCAGTTTGTCTGTCATAGTTGACGTGTACCTATGATGAAAATTACAGGCCTCTCTCATCTTTTTAAGTGGGAGAACTTTCACAATTGGTGGCTGACTAAATACTTTTTTCCCCCACTGTATAACCTACCTATCTGATGGAACACTGTCTATATGTATAGTCTACCTATCTGATGGAACACTATCTATATGTATAGTCTACCTATCTGATGGAACACTGTCTATATGTATAGTCTACCTATCTGATGGAACACTGTCTATATGTATAGTCTATCTGATGGAACACTGTCTATATGTTTAATCCACTTGATGGAACACTGTCTATATGTATAACCTACCTATCTGATGGAACACTGTCTATATGTATAACCTACCTATCAGATGGAACACTGTCTATATGTATAGTCTATCTGATGGAACAATGTCTATATGTATAATCCACTTGATGGAACACTGTCTATATGTATAATCTACCTGATGGAACACTGTCTATATGTATAACCCACCTGTCTTATGGAACAATGTCTATATGTATAACCTACCTATCTGATGGAACACTGTTTATATGTATAGTCTATCTGATGGAACACTGTCTATATGTATAGTCTACCTGATGGAACACTGTCTATGTCTACCTGATGGAACACTGTCTATATGTATAACCCACCTATCTTATGGAACAATGTCTATATGTATAACCTACCTATCTGATGGAACACTGTTTATATGTATAGTCTATCTGATGGAACACTGTCTATATGTATAGTCTACCTGATGGAACACTGTCTATGTCTACCTGATGGAACACTGTCTATATGTATAGTCTATCTGATGGAACACTGTCTATATGTATAGTCTACCTGATGGAACACTGTCTATATGTATTGTCTACCTGATGGAACACTGTCTATATGTATAGTCTATCTGATGGAACACTGTCTATATGTATAACCTACCTATCTGATGGAACACTGTCTATATGTATAGTCTATCTGATGGAACACTGTCTATATGTATAGTCTACCTGATGGAACACTGTCTATATGTATAATCTACCTGATGGAACACTGTCTATGTATAACCTACCGATCTGATGGAATACTGTCTATATGTATAACCTACCTATCTGATGGAACACTGTCTATATGTATAGTCTATCTGATGGAACACTGTCTATATGTATAATCTACCTGATGGAACACTGTCTATGTATAACCTACCGATCTGATGGAATACTGTCTATATGTATAACCTACCGATCTGATGGAACACTGTCTATATGTATAACCTACCTATCTGATGGAACACTGTCTATATGTATAGTCTATCTGATGGAACACTGTCTATATGTATAATCTACCTGATGGAACACTGTCTATGTATAACCTACCGATCTGATGGAACACTGTCTATATGTATAACCTACCTATCTGATGGAATACTGTCTATATGTATAACCTACCTATCTGATGGAACACTGTCTATATGTGTAACCTACCTATCTGATGGAACACTCTCTATATGTATAATATATTTACATTTACATTTTAGTCATTTAGCAGACGCTCTTATCCAGAGCGACTTACAGTTAGTGAATACATTTTTTTTTTTATATACTGGCCCCCGTGGGAAACGAACCCACAACCCTGGCGTTGCAAACGCCATGCTCTATCAACTGAGCTACATCCCTGACGGCCATTCCCTCCCCTACCCTGGACGACGCTGGGCCAATTGTGCGCCGCCCATGAGTCTCCCGGTCGCGGCCGGCTGCGACAGAGCCTGGATTCGAACCAGGATCTAGTGGCACAGTTAGCACTGCGATGCAGTGCCTTAGACCACTGCGCCACTCAGGAGTATATATCTGTATATATATCTGATGGAACACTGTCTATATGTATAACCTACCTATCTGATGGAACACTGTCTATATGTATAGTCTACCTGATGGAACACTGTCTATATGTATAACCTACCTATCTGATGGAACACTGTCTATATGTATAACCTACATATCTGATGGAACACTGTCTATATGTATAGTCTACCTGATGGAACACTGTCTATATGTATAGTCTACCTGATGGAACACTGTCTATATGTATAACCTACCTATCTGATGGAACACTGTCTATATGTATAGTCTACCTGATGGAACACTGTCTATATGTATAGTCTACCTGATGGAACACTGTCTATATGTATAGTCTACCTATCTGATGGAACACTGTCTATATGTATAGTCTACCTGATGGAACACTGTCTATATGTATAGTCTACCTGATGGAACACTATCTATATGTATAATCTACCTGATGGAACACTGTCTATATGTATAATCCACTTGATGGAACACTGTATATATGTATAACCTACCTATCAGATGGAACACTGTCTATATGTATAGTCTATCTGATGGAACACTGTCTATACGTATAGTCTACCTGATGGAACACTGTCTATACGTATAGTCTACCTGATGGAACACTGTCTATATGTATAGTCTATTGATGGAACACTGTCTATACGTATAGTCTATTGATGGAACACTGTCTATATGTATAGTCTATTGATGGAACACTGTCTATATGTATAGTCTATTGATGGAACACTGTCTATATGTATAGTCTATTGATGGAACACTGTCTATATGTATAGTCTACCTGATGGAACACTGTCTATATGTATAGTCTACCTATCTGATGGAACACTGTCTATATGTATAGTCTACCTGATGGAACACTGTCTATATGTATAGTCTACCTGATGGAACACTATCTATATGTATAATCTACCTGATGGAACACTGTCTATATGTATAATCCACTTGATGGAACACTGTCTATATGTATAACCTACCTATCAGATGGAACACTGTCTATATGTATAGTCTATCTGATGGAACACTGTCTATACGTATAGTCTACCTGATGGAACACTGTCTATACGTATAGTCTACCTGATGGAACACTGTCTATATGTATAGTCTATTGATGGAACATTGTCTATATGTATAGTCTATTGATGGAACACTGTCTATATGTATAGTCTACCTGATGGAACACTGTCTATATGTATAGTCTATTGATGGAACACTGTCTATATGTATAGTCTATTGATGGAACACTGTCTATATGTATAGTCTATTGATGGAACACTGTCTATATGTATAGTCTACCTGATGGAACACTGTCTATATGTATAGTCTATTGATGGAACACTGTCTATATGTATAGTCTATTGATGGAACACTGTCTATATGTATAGTCTATTGATGGAACACTGTCTATATGTATAGTCTACCTGATGTAGCTGGCGTAGAGTCTGTAGCCTCTGAACTGCCTGGTCTCTCTCCTGTTGCAGCTGATTGGCTCTACTCCTGCTCTCTGTGAGCAAGACAGAGCGTGTGTGTGAGCGTGTTTGGAAGTTCAATGGTAAGTGCAATGACTCCAGTGGCTTCTTCTGCCCTCCTGCTCTTTCCATAGAAACGCCTACCCTCTAGCTTATCCCTCAGTGAGTCAGTGTGCTGCGCTTTTTCTTGGCCTCCACTACATAGACCTCCGCCGGCCTGCTCCTTTAGCTTAACCAGCTGTGGCAATGAGAGAGAGGGAGGGGGAGAAAGAAAGAAAGATAGAAAAAGCAAAAGAGAGAGAAAGGGGGAGGTATCTTTCATAATGGACAAAACATCAAAGATATACGGTAATTCCTCTGAGAAGTGATAAGAGCCCTTCAATACCTTCAACTCCAGTGTAGAAACCTTGATTTGTGCCTCTGTCCTCTCGGCATCTCTCAGTCTTTCCAGACTCCTCAGAGCGTGCTCCCTGCAACAGGACAATGACACATCAGACAACATTCTCTCATCATGTGTCATCTTTGGATCAGCTGTGAGAGATACTGTTCATTTCCAAATGTCCATGTTACAGGTAAGGCTCACGTACGTCTCCCTCAGCTGCTGCTCTCTCTCCGCCACTTTCAGCTCCAGCTTCTGAACTTCATTATTTTGCTGTGACACCTCATGACAGTCAGGATGTGCAGAATGGGGAAACACATGAACAAATTGACTGATTGTTTAATTGATTGATTGACTGATGGACTGATAACCCCACCTGTCCCCTGGCTGACTGTAGCTCATGTTGCTACTCCTCCAGTTCAGTGTCTCTGTCCCTCAGCATGTCCCACTCCTTCTGTAACTCTACCCTCACCTGGCCCTGATCCACCTCCTCCAGGGACACCTTCTGTAACTCTACCCTCACCTGGCCCCGATCCACCTCCTCCAGGGACACCTTCTGTAGCTTTGCCCTCACCTGGCCCCGATCCACCTCCTCCAGGGACACCTTCTGTAACTCTACCCTCACCTGGCCCCCATCCACCTCCTCCAGGGACACCTTCTGTAACTCTACCCTCACCTGGCCCCCATCCACCTCCTCCAGGGACACCTTCTGTAGCTTTGCCCTCACCTGGCCCCCATCCACCTCCTGCAGGGACACCTTCTGTAACTCTACCCTCACCTGGCCCCCATCCACCTCCTCCAGGGACACCATCTGTAGCTTTTCCCTCACCTGGCCCAGTTCCCCATCCACCTCCTCCAGGGACACCTTCTGTAACTCTACCCTCACCTGGCCCCCATCCACCTCCTCCAGGGACACCTTCTGTAACTTTGCCCTCACCTGGCCCCCATCCACCTCCTCCAGGGACACCTTCTGTAGCTTTGCCCTCACCTGGCCCCCATCCACCTCCTCCAGGGACACCTTCTGTAGCTTTGTCCTCACCAGGCCCTGATCCACCTCCTCCAGGGACACCTTCTGTAACTCTACCCTCACCTGGCCCCCATCCACCTCCTCTAGGGACACCTTCTGTAGCTTTGCCCTCACCTGGCCCCCGTTCCACCTCCTCCAGGGACACCTTCTGTACCTTTGCCCTCACCTGGCCCCCATCCACCTCCTCTAGGGACACCTTCTGTAGCTTTGCCCTCACCTGGCCCCCGTTCCACCTCCTCCAGGGACACCTTCTGTAACTCTACCCTCACCTGGCCCCCATCCACCTCCTCCAGGGACACCATCTGTAGCTTTTCCCTCACCTGGCCCAGTTCCCCATCCACCTCCTCCAGGGACACCTTCTGTAACTCTACCCTCACCTGGCCCCCATCCACCTCCTCCAGGGACACCATCTGTAGCTTTTCCCTCACCTGGCCCCGATCCACCTCCTCCAGGGACACCTTCTGTAACTCTACCCTCACCTGGCCCCCATCCACCTCCTCCAGGGACACCATCTGTAGCTTTGCCCTCACCTGGCCCAGTTCCCCATCTACCTCCTCCAGGGACACCTTCTGTAGCTTTGCCCTCACCTGGCCCCGATCCACCTCCTCCAGGGACACCTTCTGTAACTCTACCCTCACCAGGCCCCCATCCACCTCCTCCAGGGACACCTTCTGTAACTCTACCCTCACCTGGCCCCGATCCACCTCCTCCAGGGACACCTTCTGTAACTCTACCCTCACCTGGCCCCCATCCACCTCCTCCAGGGACACCTTCTGTAGCTTTGCCCTCACCTGGCCCCGATCCACCTCCTCCAGGGACACCTTCTGTAGCTTTGCCCTCACCTGGCCCCGATCCACCTCCTCCAGGGACATCTTCTGTAACTCTACCCTCACCTGGCCCCCATCCACCTCCTCCAGGGACACCATCTGTAGCTTTGCCCTCACCTGGCCCCCATCCACCTCCTCCAGGGACACCTTCTGTAGCTTTGCCCTCACCTGGCCCCCATCCACCTCCTCCAGGGACACCTTCTGTAGCTTTGCCCTCACCTGGCCCCCATCCACCTCCTTCAGGGACACCTTCTGTAACTCTACCCTCACCTGGCCCCGATCCACCTCCTCCAGGGACACCTTCTGTAGCTTTGCCCTCACCTGGCCCCCATCCACCTCCTCCAGGGACATCTTCTGTAACTCTACCCTCACCTGGCCCCCATCCACCTCCTCCAGGGACACCATCTGTAGCTTTGCCCTCACCTGGCCCAGTTCCCCATCTACCTCCTCCAGGGACACCTTCTGTAGCTTTGCCCTCACCTGGCCCCCATCCACCTCCTCCAGGGACATCTTCTGTAACTCTACCCTCACCTGGCCCCCATCCACCTCCTCCAGGGACACCTTCTGTAGCTTTGCCCTCACCTGGCCCCCATCCACCTCCTCCAGGGACACCATCTGTAACTTTGCCCTCACCTGGCCCCCATCCACCTCCTCCAGGGACACCTTCTGTAGCTTTGCCCTCACCTGGCCCCCATCCACCTCCTCCAGGGACATCTTCTGTAACTCTACCCTCACCTGGCCCCGATCCACCTCCTCCAGGGACACCTTCTGTAGCTTTGCCCTCACCTGGCCCCCATCCACCTCCTCCAGGGACACCATCTGTAACTTTGCCCTCACCTGGCCCCCATCCACCTCCTCCAGGGACACCTTCTGTAGCTTTGCCCTCACCTGGCCCCCATCCACCTCCTCCAGGGACACCTTCTGCAGCTTTGCCCTCACCTGGCCCCCATCCACCTCCTCCAGGGACACCTTCTGTAACTCTACCCTCACCTGGCCCCCATCCACCTCCTCCAGGGACACCTTCTGCAGCTTTGCCCTCACCTGGCCCAGTTCCCCATCCACCTCCTCCAGGGTCACCTGTGCAGCCTGTGTCTGTGGTGGTATACTATGACAGACAAAAAAATGAACATGTTTCTTTGTCTCTGTGTAATGGGTAAATCAAGATGTATTATAGTGCATTCAGAATCCTGAGACAGACGGACAGAAAGACAGACAACATTTGGATTCATCAGAATGCATACATGACTATGCTCGTGCAAGTAGTCCTGGTTCTACGTCCATAGGAAATACCACATTATTATATATTTAACTGAAGAATCAGATCATACTCACTCTGTCTCTGTTCCTTTATCAGAAGTTTGCACCGCTTCCCCACCTGCAGAGGATAACAGTGTAAAAGGTAGTTTGTCAACCCGCCGTGTCTTCCGCACTGCACCAACGGCACCACAGACTGATAGACTGTCACTCTATTCCAGGTTGTAGGCAACCCTGTTCCTGGAGTGCCGCCGATACTGCAGGATTCTGTCCCAACTAGGCACCACACTGAGAAACGTAGTTAATTGATCATTTCGGTGTGATTGCCTAAATTCAACGCACCTGGCCTTCCAGGTCGGTTAAATCAAAAGCATGAAGTACCTGCGGCACTCCAGGACAGGGTTGCCGATCCCTGCTCTATTCCCCTTGAATTAATTAATGAATAAATGAATTGCTGAATAAATTAATGAATGAATCAACATTTTAACCCAAGATATGATTGCCTTTTACCTTTGAGTCTTTTGTGCAGAGCTTGACTCCTGCTCCTCTCCAGCTCCACCTGTTGTTTACACGCATCCAGCTCCACCTTCAGCAGAGAACCAGCATCTTTTCTGACTCTGCTCAACTCTGCCTCTGTACTGGCCCAGTGCAGGTGAAGAGTCTGAATCTCTTCCCTGAAGGAAGAACACATTCATGTAATGGTCAGTTATAGACATTTGAAATGTCTGGGATTCATAATTGGTCTAATCGAAATGCCCATGATAGTTCCACACTCACTTGTCTCTCTGCCCCTCTGTCTGAAGTCTCTCGACCTCCACCTTCAGCCCTGTCGCCTCCTCTTGATGCTGGAAGCCACAAATCTCACAACTACACAGATCTCAACAATACAGAACACTAATGATCAATAAGGAATCACATAGAAAGGGATTGATTCTGTCTACAGCTATGGTACATTAAATAGGGTGATTGCTTGATCAATTGAGTGACCGATTGATTTTTATTTACTACATCTACAGCCATGGTACGTTAGAGACGATCTCATCTTGGCCCCGTGTAGCTCAGTTGGTAGAGCATGGCGCTTGCAACGCCAGGGTTGTGGGTTCGATTCCCACGGGCGGGGGGGCCAGTATGAAAAAATTTATGCGCTCACTAACTGTAAGTCGCTCTGGATAAGAGCGTTCTGCTAAAATGTCTAAAATTAAATAAATAAAATCTTACTGTATCTCCAGGGTTCTTCTCTCTGAGTTCATCTAGTTCTGCCTGGGTGGATTGTAGCGCCATAGCCACATCCTGCCACTTCTCGCTCCAGTGTGCGGCCACACCCCTCAGCTGCTCCATGTTCTGAGCCGACTCAGCCTCCAACCGCTGATGCTCCTCCCCCTGATGACGCAGACCCTCCTCCTTTTCCAGGAGCTCCGCCTCCAAGGTCAGGCAGCGATCATGCAGCCTCTGGTTCTCTGACTCCAAGGCATCCTGGGATTCACTGGTGATATGATGTGGTGTTATTGATGTTAGCGATGACAATCCCGTCATTAATGCATGTCCATAGTTGTTGTGTAAGAGTGTCAAAGACATTATGAAACCCAAATCAACCCCAAGCCTCTACCCACTATACACTTGTGTAGATCTGAGAGGATTGGATAGGTGTAAATAGGCCTGTGGCGGTCATGAAATTGTGTCAGCCGGTCATTGTCATGCAAAAGAATGCCGGTCTCACGGCAATTGACCGTTAATTAACATAAACATGTTTAACAACTCCAGGCCCTCCACGCATACAAGCCGCTGATGCGCACCTTTGGATCCTCTACATTTAAAAAAGTATAATAAATCAATTTACACCATCACAATAAACCCATTATTTATTTTAGGCAGGTATAAAGAAACATTATGATTTGAAGAAAATGTATCTCAGAAGAACAGAATATGAGTTGGCCTACTGTATGTTTATCTAGCTTTGCGCCATGCCACAGGCTATAGGCTTGTTCATTTAGCTGACAAGATATGCTTCTAAGTCCCATGCCATTATTTTTTATATTATATGATTTTATAGTAAGAAGAATATAATTGAATAAAATAGAAAGGATGTTTTTCCCATTCCAGAGCGGATGCGCATATGAAGTGGATATGCTGAGCGTAAAAGTTATCATTTGAAACAGGTCCTAGAGGCCAGATGTAGAGTTATTTGGCATCTTTAGTTGTGAATGATACAACCCTTAGAATGTCTTAGAAATCAAAACATATATGGCCAAAGTTCCTTGCTTCGTCTGCACATGCTGTTCTCTCATCAAGTGATCATATTTTCAGACTATTTCAATGGAATCTTTATGCAAAATGTATTTTGATTTAGAATGGCCCATCCTATCTGTCATATCTTTAATCTGAGCCTAGAGGAAAGTCTTTGTCCTCAGGCCTGGAGGGAAGCGAAAGTCATTCCGCTACCCAAGAGTGGTAAAGCAGCCTTCACTGGTTCTAACAGCAGACCTATCAGCTTGCTGCCAGCTCTTAGCAAACTGTTGGAAAAAATTGTGTTTGACCAAATACAATGCTATTTCTCTGTAAACAAATTAACAACAGACTTTCAACATGCTTATAGGCAAGGGCACTCAACATATACTGCACTGACACAAATGACTGATGATTGGTTGAAAGAAATTGATAATAAGAAGATTGTGGGAGCTGTACTGTTAGATTTCAGTGCAGCCTTTATATTATGGATCATAACCTGTTGTTGAAAAAACGTATGTGTTATGGCTTTTCAACCTCTGCCATATCGTGAATTCAGAGCTATCTATCTAATAGAACTCAAAGGGTTTTCTTTAATGGAAGCTTCTCTAATGCCAAACATGTAAAGTGTGGTGTACCGCAGGGCAGCTCTCTAGGCCCTCTACTCTTTTCTATTTTTACCAATAACCTGCCACTGGCATTAAACAAAGCATGTGTGTCCATGTATGCTGATGATTCAACCATATACGCATCAGCAACCACAGCTAATGAAGTCACTGAAACCCTTAACAAAGAGTTGCAGTCTGTTTTGGAATGGGTGGCCACTAATAAACTGGTCCTGAACATTTCTAAAACTAAGAGCATTGTATTTGGTACAAATAATTCCCTAAGTTCTAGACCTCAGCTGAATCTGGTAATGAATGGTGTGGCTGTTGAACAAGTTGAGGAGACTAAATTACTTGGTGTTACCTTAGATTGTAAACTATCATGGTCAAAACATATAGATTCAATGGTTGTAAAGATGGGGAGAAGTCTGTCCGTAATAAAGAGATGCTCTGCTTTTTTGACACCACACTCCAAAAAGCAAGTCCTGCAGGCTCTAGTTTAGTCTAATCTTGATTATTGTCCACTCCGTTCCATCTCATATTGCTCAAATAAACAGCAAACCTGGTTTCAAAAAACAGATAAAGCAACACCTCACGGCACAAGGCCTCTCCCCTATTTGACCTAGATAGTTTGTGTGTATGTATTGATATGTAGGCTACATGTGCCTTTTTTTTAAAAATGTATGTATTTCTGTCCTTGAGCTGTTCTTGTCTATTAATGTTCTGTATTATGTCATGTTTCATGTTTTGTGTGGACCCCAGGAAGAGTAGCTGCTGCTTTTGCAACAGCTAATGGGGATCCTAATAAAACACTAAATAATCAAAAGGGCAGGGAAAGAATACGTAATCTTTAGTAGCACTCCAGTACCACTACAGTAGCACCCCAATAGCACTCCCACTTAAAAAGATGAGGCCTGTAATTTTCATCATAGGTACACGTCAACTATGACAGACAAATTGAGAAAAGAAATCCAGAAAATCACATTGTAGGATTTTTAATGAATTTATTTGCAAATTATGGTGGAAAATAAGTATTTGGTCACCTACAAACAAGAAAGATTTCTGGCTCTCACATACCTGTAACTTCTTCTTTAAGAGGCTCCTCTGTCCTCCACTCGTTACCTGTATTAATGGCACCTGTTTGAACTTGTTATCAGTATAAAAGACACCTGTCCACAACCTCAAACAGTCACACTCCAAACTCCACTATGGCCAAGACCAAAGAGCTGTCAAAGGACACCAGAAACAAAATTGTAGACCTGCACCAGGCTGGGAAGACTGAATCTGCAATTGGTAAGCAGCTTGGTTTGAAGAAATCAACTGTGGGAGCAATTATTAGGAAATGGAAGACATACAAGACCACTGATAATCTCCCTCGATCTGGGGCTCCACGCAAGATCTCACCCCGTGGGGTCAAAATGATCACAAGAACGGTGAGCAAAAATCCCAGAACCACACGGGGGGAACCTAGTGAATGACCTGCAGAGAGCTGGGACCAAAGTAACAAAGCCTACCATCAGTAACACACTACGCCGCCAGGGACTCAAATCCTGCAGTGCAGACGTGTCCCCCTGCTTAAGCCAGTACATGTCCAGGCCCATCTGAAGTTTGCTAGAGTGCATTTGGATGATCCAGAAGAGGATTGGGAGAATGTCATATGGTCAGATGAAACCAAAATAGAACTTTTTGGTAAAAACTCAACTCGTCGTGTTTGGAGGACAAAGAATGATGAGTTGCATCCAAAGAACACCATACCTACTGTGAAGCATGGGGTGGAAACATCATGCTTTGGGGCTGTTTTTCTGCAAAGGGACCAGGACGACTGATCCGTGTAAAGGAAAGAATGAATGGGGCCATGTATCGTGAGATTTTGAGTGAAAACCTCCTTCCATCAGCAAGGGCATTGAAGATGAAACGTGGCTGGGTCTTTCAGCATGACAATGATCCCAAACACACCGCCCGGGCAACGAAGGAGTGGCTTCGTAAGAAGCATTTCAAGGTCCTGGAGTGGCCTAGCCAGTCTCCAGATCTCAACCCCATAGAGAATCTTTGGAGGGGGTTGAAAGTCCGTGTTGCCCAGCGACAGCTCCAAAACATCACTGCTCTAGAGGAGATCTGCATGGAGGAATGGGCCAAAATACCAGCAACAGTGTGTGAAAACCTTGTGAAGACTTACAGAAAACGTTTGACCTGTGTCATTGCCAACAAAGGGTATATAACAAAGTATTGAGAAACTTTTGTTATTGACCAAATACTTATTTTCCACCATAATTTGCAAATAAATTCATAAAAAATCCTACAATGTGATTTTCTGGATTTTTTTTTCTCATTTTGTCTGTCATAGTTGACGTGTACCTATGATGAAAAGTACAGGCCTCTCTCATCTTTTTAAGTGGGAGAACTTGCACAATTGGTGGCTGACTAAATACTTTTTTCCCCCACTGTACTACCAACGCATGTCGCGAGTGCATAAGAGTAGATTACCGCGACTCAACAGTCACGTGACATTTTACTGCGGTCATGACTCATGACTGCCAGTGTGGCGGTACTACGGTCACCGCAACAGCCCTAGGTGTAAAGCAGTATAGTAGTAGCTCTCTCTTGCCCTCTGGTGAAATTGTCATCTAGGACCTAGGCGTTAGGGGTTGATTTGGGCTTAAGGGTATGGTACCAAGTGGTGATCTCCAAATGTACATCTGCAGTCTGTTATTCCTCTCACCTGAGCTGATCACATCTCTCCCTCAGCTCTGTCACTTCCTCCTCCTGTCTTCCATCCCGTCCAATAGCACTCATCAACTCCTCCTTCTCTCCAATCAGCTGCGAGCGCTCCGTCTCCAGAGCTGCGATCTGATTGGTGTGGATGACTCTCTCTGCCCCCAGCTCATGCAGCTGAGCCAATGAGGACTCCAGCCTCTGTCTGACCATCTCCAGCTCTGATGTCATCCTTTCATTCATCTGTCCAATACCATGTCAAAGATATAGATATGGTTAAACATTCAGACAGGATATGGACCACCTAGGCAGGTAGGCAATTCAGTCACAGAGTACAAAAATGCAGCTCAACAATTGGAACCAACAGGTACACCACTAGGATTAGAAAAAATGGTGAATTGTTGTGGTAAATATATATGGAAAGTTTCAGAAAATTGTTCATAGAAAGTTTCCCCTTTTCAAAATTTCCCGGATTTTTGAAACCCGCTACGTCACAGTCCATAAGCAAACCAAGTTCCTTCAAACAATCCCACCTCTGTCACAGTCAGAAGCTCCTGCTTCATCTGCACAGTCTCCTGCCCCTGCCTGTTGGTGTGGGCCTTGGCCTCAGCCAGCTGGTCGCTGAGCTCACACACCTGGTCTGTGTAGCCCTCCCTGCCCCTCTGGGCTCTCTCCAACTGCAGCACCAGACCCTGAGCGTGCTGGTGCAGGTCTGACTTCTCCTGCACAGCATACATGACAGAACATGCGCATGTATTCATCAAGACAAAAACCAATCTATGCACAAATACTTTTTTTTTTCTTTTTTCTTTTGCATCATTATACTCGAGATGCATGCCCTTAACTCGACGATCACGATCATGCCTTGAAGTTAATGGGAGATTTGCACGATAACTCATCATGCATGGATGTGAAGTTAGGATTGGGGCCACAGTGTTGAGCTAGTAAAGACCGAGGAGGGATGGAGACCTGCAGTAAGCGGTCCTTGTCAGACATGGCCCCGGTCAGCTTGAACTTCAGGTCCTCCACACTGTCCTCCAGCCGCAACACCTTGGTGGTCAGAAGGTCCCTCTCCTGCACCACAGAGAGGGTGGTTAGGAACAGTTAGTGAAGTGAAAGAGGACTTTGAGTTGGTTTCCCAGACACTGATTAAGCTCAGTCCTGGATTTAAAAGAACGTCCACGCTTTATAGTCCAAGGCTAGGGTTAATGCTGTATTGTCCCTTTGAGTGATGAATAAGGGTTTTCCTGAATTGACTGAATTGAAATTGGAATTGACCCCAAACCCTGCCACTCACCAGAGCGGCCTGACCCAGCTTACTGCGTGCCTCACTCAGCTGGTCCTGCAGCTCACTCAGCCGGTCCTGCAAGGAACGACCCAGTTTCTGGTTCACATCCTCTGTCTGGCTCAACAATGTCCTCTGAGCCTGGATACACAGAATGGGAGGTAGGGAGAGGAAGGTAGGTGAAAAGAGCTGGAGACACAGAATGGGAGAAATACAAAGATGAATAGGAACAGAAGTGTCTGTATGAACTGTGGAGTACTGCAAGGAAGTGACCTCTGACCTCTTTTTCTCCTATTGTACATCAGTGATTTAAAAGCTGCCTGTTCATGGTCAACGATGAACATAGGAGTTGGCAAGACTACACAGACAGACTAGGCCATTTGATCCTTGGTCAAAAGTTGTGGACGCTACAGGGAATAGGGTGCAATTTGGGACACAGACTATATTAGACCAGGCTAGTGTTGGACTGACCTCTTTAGAGGTGTGCAGCTGCTGAAGCGCCTGGTCTCTCTCTGTCTCCAGGGCCTCTGCTCTCTCCTCAGCCTCTCCGAGGGCCTCTCTCATTCTGGACAGCTCTCTCTCTGCCTTCTGCTTCCCCTGCATGGACACATGGACACATGGACACACAGACACACTTCAAAATCATCCACATGGATGTAATGCTGCTTAAAGTGTAACCATATAGAATCCAAGTGGGGTTTTTACTCTAAACAAGGCTATGCAGAAGTAACCTGGTCCAAGATCTGTTTGTGCTGTATCAACTCTTATGGTCGTTATAACAACAATCAGAGGACTTGCACAAACAGATCAAGGATGAAAGAGTTTTGTACAATGAGGTTTAACAGTGTACCTCTCTGTAGAAGTCTTCTTGTGTAACAGGCAAGGTCCTGCTCAGTGGGTTGTTGTTAGTTCTTGGGGCCGCAGGTTTGATAACACTCCCTCTCTCAAGAGACGATCTCATCTTCAACATGTCCATCTCCAGCTGAAGGACCCTTCAAATGTACATATAAATGGAATTCACTAACGTCTCTTTGGGATTTTTTTTATATCAGGTTTGAAAACTGAGGTGAATAGCAAGTGAAATTGGAATGTATATTTTCTTCCTGAAATGACTGAATTGAAATGGAATTGACTCCTACCCTGCATGGTGAATAGTTGTCCCATTTATCTACATTGGGATTTGTGAAGGGCATTAACTCATTCAATGCCATGAGTGAGCAGCTTAGTCATCGTACTCACTTGTCTTGCAGTTCTCCTCGACGTCGGCTCTCCTCAAACCGGCTCAACTCAGCTGCCTCCTTCTCCTGCTCAAGAGCACTCACTGCATCTGCCAGGTGCTATGGGACAAACGGGTTGAGGGGTGAGGCTGGGACACAGAGACCAGACAAAACCTGGCCTGAACCCCAGAGACCAGACAAAACCTGGCCTGAACCCCAAAGACCAGACAAAACCTGGCCTGAACCCCAAAGACCAGACAAAACCTGGCCTGAACCCCAAAGACCAGACAAAACCTGACCTGAACCCCAAAGACTAGACAAAGCCTGGCCTGAACCCCAAAGACTAAACAAAGCCTGGTCTAGACCCCAAAAAGCAAGTACAGGTACAATTGTGAGGAAAAACTCCCAAGAAGGAAGAAACCTTGAGAGGTTGACTCAGATTCAGAGAGGAGACTCATCCCCTGGCTGTACTGGGTAGAAGTTAAGAGTACATATGACCATTAAAGCCAGATAGACTTTCTGAATCATACAACCACAGTACATCTCTCTTTTTAAGCCCAGAGATCCTTCCCTTACCTTGTGTTTCATCTCCAGCAGCTGTGCAGAACTACTGCTGTGCAGCAGCTGTGTGTCTCTGTTCTTCAGTAGGTCTGTCTGGCTGTCCAGACGCCCGTGGGCCTCCCGCAGCCTCTGCACCAGCTCTGTCCGCCTGCAGATACAATGCTTTATTACAGGTTATAAAGTATATATGAGCCTTTATAATACCTTTTTATTATAAGGCTTGTAACATTCTATGTCTCCCTAAGTAGTACCTTTATAATAAGATAACACAAATACCTTATATTTATCCATAATATTTACAATGCCTTATAATTATATTGCATTATAAAAGACTTATACCTGAAGCCACTCTCTTCCAGGGCTGCTCTCAGCTCAGCCCCTGGGGAGACAGGGGCGAGGGACCGGGGGGTGCACTCAGGGGCCAGGCGAGACATCGACTGCCATCTTCTTTTACCCATCCCTGGGTCACTCTGTCTGTTGAAACCACCATCTCTGCCATTACCAGAGGTGCTAGGACACATGAAACAGATGTCTTCAATATAAAATATATAAGATGCTTGAATAAACCTACCTGTAGGAAAAGACCAACCTAGAGTCAAGGTGCAGCCTAAATAAAGTACAACCTAAGGGGGTTTAAAAACTAACTTTATCACATTCCTTTGAAAACAAAAGCCACCAAGTCATTCTAAGGCTACAAAAAGTTTCTGCTCTCACCTGGTGCTTATTTTGGACAGGAAACCTCCAGTCATAGTTGCCATACTCCACGCTGCGGACTAACACAACAAAAAATATCACTCAAAATGCCTCACCGTGATCTAAATTAATTAATTTATAACACAAAATTATAAGTCACCAACGTATAATCACAAATCGTTCCTTACCTGAGATTTAAAGTGAGACCTGCTGTCCCACATGTTCAGATCGGCGAGGGCGAGTGGACAAGAGTCTCCGAGAGGGATGAGTGAATGTCTGGAGGGTTTAACACCCAGCCCTCCTAACTCACCACCCCAGTCATCGCCGCCTTCCATGGGGGAGAGGCCGCTGCCCTCACCCCCCCTTATCTGGGCCAAGTCCATCTGCACAGACTGTATCCACTGGCTCTGGCCAGAAGGATGGAAAAAAAGGGACATGGATTGATTGATTGAGTCTCATGTTAGTGGCAGCTTGTAGTTTGCTATTATTACTACTATTCGTGGAAAGGAAAACATGCCTTGACTTTTCCAGTGTTTGTTTGTTCTGCTTAGAGTTCACACCCAATCTTTAACAATGCAGTGCAGTTAATTATAACACCACTGACTGGCCTCCAAATGCCTTGTGTTTGTGTCGCAGTCAGATAGAATTTGAAATAACATTCTCTAAGGAGAAAACAAATGTGGACACATAACAAATGTTTGCTGCACACAAAGAAGTAACTAATACTTTAGAATGGCAATTGACCATTTTCAATATACTTACATAACACACCAGAAACCAGAATACTTAGTGAGTAAATACACCAAGAGAAACGGTCTCTTACCTTGATGTTAAAGCCCTCCTCCTCTTGTCCCTTGGCTCTGTTCAATAGCTCTGTCCCTACTCCTGTCTTCCAGCTGCCCTGATTGTGGGAGCCAGCAAGCTGTCGAGAGTGCAGCCCTGGCAGAACGTAGTCATGGTTACCTGCATACATAGGGACGCCTTGCAGAGCGTGGGTGTGCTAAGTCCAACCCTGAGCTACATTGTCTCCCTGTGACCTCGCTGCTTCAGCAGCCTGCCCTACTGTTTGTTGACATGATGGGATGACAAGAGTTCCACTCTGTGGAGCCTGTCACGACCAATTCTTTACATAAAGATACAGTACATTTACTCATTAATTCACCCACACATTGCAACCGAGCATTGTGAAATAAGTATTTGTGTCAAAACATTCAAATAAGATTGATGTATTCAGGTATATGGCCTTTAATGTCATTGGAAAAAGTAGGCCTATTCTATAGATATGAATCAAGACAATGTTATGCACATGATTTAAGGGAGGTTGTGTTTGTATGTCGGTATGGAACATGACGGATGTGACAAATAATGACTTGACCAAGAGCCGTATTATAACACACTGTTATTTTTGCTATGTCTCAACAGGACAGTGAGAAATACTGCAAGCCACTGAGATCATAACATACGGGTAATTGCCAAAATAAAGGAAACACCAACATGAAGCGTCTTAATAGGCCATTGGGCCACCACGAGCCGCCAGAACAGCTTCAATGCGCCTTGGCAAGTGTCTGGAACTCTACTAGAGGGATGTGACATCATTCTTCTACGAGAAATTCCATCATTTGGTGTTTTTTGTTGATGGTGGTGGAAAACGCTGTCTCAGGCGTCGCTTCGAAATCTCCCATAAGTGTTCAATTGGGTTGAGATCTGGTGACTGAGACCTGAAACCCTCTATTAAGACCCTGATGCACACACACACACACACACACACACTTTAAACCCCCAATGCTCCTTTGAGACCCCTCTTTCAAAGTCACTGAGATCTCTTCTTCTAGCTATGGTAGCCAATATAATGGGCAGCTGGGCATTTTTTTTTTTACATGACCCTAAGCATGATGGGATGTTAATTTGCTTAATTAACTCAGGACTACCACACCTGTGTGGAAGCACCTGCTTTCAATATACTTTGTATCCCTCATTTACTCAAGTGTTCTCTTTATTTTGGCAATTACCTGTAGGCGCTAGCTTCGAGAGAAAAGGTCTCCAAGCTCAGTTGGTTGTTGCACATACATCATGTGTGGTGTTATGAGCGCAATAAATCTCTGTATTTAGTCATATAGACTTTCTCTCATTCACACCATATTCGATGTGACTTCATGGGTAATTTATTTGTTTTATCAACCAAACCAATTATTACTTTACTGTCAAATCATCACATTATAAATCTAGAGTCTATTGACGCATCAATCTAAGTAACATAATAAAAAAATCCCCATCAAAATGTTCGCTGCTTTGGCACCGCAATGGTGGAACAAGCTCCCCCACGACAGAGACACTTGAAACCCTACCTCTTTAAGGAATACCTGGGATAGTATAAAAGTAATCCTTCTACCCCCCCCCACCCCACCCCCACAAAATATATATAGAGCATGGCGCTTGTAACGCCAAGGTAGTGGGTTCGATCCCCGGGACCACCCATACACACAAAAAATGTATGCACGCATGACTGTAAGTCGCTTTGGATAAAAGCGTCTGCTAAATGGCATATATATATATTTTTTTTTAAAATATCAAATAATAAAATAAAAATAAACTTTTGGAAAGTGGTTGTCCCACTGGGTATCATAAGGTGAATGCACCAATTTGTAAGTTGCTCTGGAAAAGAGCGTCTACTAAATGACATAAATGTAAATGTAAAATCCGTCAGTTTAAGACGGAGCTATGTTGTTGTTTTTGCATGGGGATGCGTCTTAAGCCACCACATCCATCTATGGCGGCCTTCCACATCTGCGGCGGAAGGTGGCCGAGCTACAGCGGTGTCTGTGAGAACCATGACCGCTCAATGGAAGGGGGAGACTCTTAACGAACAGGATGGTGTTCTCTGCTTTGCCCTACTAGTCTGAAGTCGGTAACCTGATGTGCCAACTTCTGTTTGTAGCATCCAAACCATTTGAGCTACAAACTAATGTGACCCCACTGTGGAAAGGGGAGATTCTCACAAACAAAATTGGTGTTCTCCCACAAGTGTTACGGGACTCCTCTGAAGGTAACCGGTACCAGTTAAAAATTTTTATGGAAGTATGGAGGTCGTTTTGTGCCTACCCCAAAAAAGTGGTTAAATATGTAAACGAATATATATATGTCCTGAGTTTTCTTATATAATAATAATAATAATAATAATAATAATATAATATGCCATTTAGCAGACGCTTTTATCCAAAGCGACTTACAGTCATGTGTGCATACATTTTTACGTATATCTCCTACATATAGGACAGACACTTCAAAACCTTATTCCTTCTAATTTATTTTTTGACTGTCTTTTTTGCTATTTATAAATGTGTTATTTAATGCGTTTATATAGGCTATAGTAGTAAAGGCCAAATTCAATATTTAATCAAATAATTTATTGATATATTTTCTTGATACATAAAGGGGTCCTAAAATTCAAAACCAAATAGCTAAATGATCCAGTGGCGCAGATCGAGTGGCGCAGCGGTCTAAGGCACTGCATCTCAGTGCTTGAGGCGTCACTACAGATCCCCTGGTTCGATTCCAGGCTGTATCACAACCGGCCGTGATTGGGAGTCCCATAGGGTGGCGCACAATTGGCCCAGCGTCGTCCGGGTTTGGCCGGTGTAGGCCATCATTGGAAATAAGAATTTGTTCTTAACTGACTTGCCTAGTTAAATAAAGGTAAAATAAAAAAAAATAAAAAATGACCATCTTAAAACAATTCCATATGTCAGCTTAGAACCCCCCCACAACGGCTTACACTCTTAAGAAATTATATATATATATATTCACTCCATAAAATTAAATGTGATAACAAAAACATACATTTCATTGTGAAATGTGTGTTTCATATCTGGTCAAATAGATGCGCCCTGCAACTGTGATGACTTTTATTTTGAAATGTGTATGGCTACGCGCGCCGGAAGTTGTGCGACGCTAACTCATGCTAATGAAACAAAGCTAACCATTCAGCCAAGGACGCTTGCTTTGATACATTTCGTTAAAATTGCCCATTTGGACAACCGTTCAAAGATTAAATTAAAACAGTCGTTATACGGAATATCACAAAAGGTATGGTACTTTTGTCCATTAAACAATAAGGCATGTATTGCCATTCTGAACGACAAAATGAGACGTCGTCAGAGGCCATGTTGTTAGTTAGCTGCTAACGTCAGCTAGAGTTAGCTAACTAGATGTTCGCCAGCTAACATTTCAACTTGAAACTCAAACGTTATCATGACATGTGTTCATGCTCTCCTTGTTTTGACTAGACACTAGACAGGATGGCTGCAGACTGGTTGGGTAGTCTGGTCTCGATAAACTGCGGAGAAGCCCTGGGGGTGTACCAAGGCGAGGTGTCGTCTGTGGACCAATCCAGCCAGACCATCTCCCTCAGGCAGCCCTTCCACAATGGAGTCAAGTGCCCTGTGCCCGAGGTCACTTTTAGGTACTACTGTTTATTATTTTCATGGAATTTTTTTATCTTTCCTGAAAGCGTTGTAATACAAGATCATAATAACTGTATTGTATGCTTGTGTTGTCAGGATACCAGAATTTTGAATTTTTACCAGGTTTATTATCATGATACTGGATTCATCACGATACTTGATACCATCACGATACTTGATACCAAAACGATTCCAAAATGATACCAAAACGATACCAAGGCAAAAAAAAGAAGGTGTATTAGCCAAAGTCAAAGAATGACACTTACATTTACATTTACATTTTAGTAATTTAGCAGACGCTCTTATCCAGAGCGACTTACAGTTAGTGAGTGCATACATTTTTCATACTGGCCCCCCGTTGGAAACGAACCCACAACCCATATCTGTATTTCCAGTCATGTGAAATCCATAGATTAGGGCCTAATGACTTGATCCAGATATATCTTTTGAGTTCAATATCATTACATTTGAAATGTTAGATTTTTAGAATGAATACATTAATGAATCAATTAATCAATCATTCAATCAATTATACTTTTGTTTGCCTATAAGTACATAACAACATAATGGCAATAATTGATTTGAATGGTAAATCTCTATTGATAAACCTGGTAAATCAAGACGTAGCCTTGGCAACACATTTTAATGTCACATGCACAAGTTCAGTGAAATGCCTTTCTTGCAAACTCACAAAACCCAACAATGCAATAATCAAAAAATTCACACGAGAAATAAGATTAAGACATATGAAATGCACAATAAAGGAAGTAAGTAAGTCGCTCTGGAGAAGAGCGTCTGCTAAATGACTAAAATGTAAATGTAAATATACAGGAAATATTTAAAGAGTAAGTTCCAATACCATATTTACATGTGCAGGGATACTAGCGTGATGGAGGTAGATCAAATCAAATCTAATTCAAATAGAATTTTATTTGCCACATGCGCCGAATACAACAGGTGTAGACATTACAGTGAAATGCTTACTTACAAGCCCTTAACCAACAATGCAGTTTAAAAAAATGAAAAAAGTAAAATAAGTGTTAAGTAAAAAAATTAATAAAATAATAACTAAAGAGCAGCAGTGAAGTAAAATAACAGTAGGGAGGTTATATACGGGGGGGTACTGGTACAGAGTCAATGTGCCGGGGCACCGGCTAGTCGAGGTAATTGAGGTAGTATGTACATGTGGGTAGAGTTAAAGTGACTAAGTATAAATAGTAAACAGAGTAGCAGCAGCGTAAAAGGGGGGGGGGGGGGGGGGGGCAGTGCAAATAGTCTGGGCAGCCATGATTAGCTGTTCAGGAGTCTTATGGCATGGGGGTAGATATGTAAAGAGGTAAGGTGACTAGGCAACAGGATATAAGGTAAACAGAGTAGCAGCAGCTTGTATGTGAGTGGGTGGGTGTGTGTAGAGTCAGTATAAATATATGTGCATATTATATGTGAGTGAGAAAATGATGGAGCCAGTGTTTGTGTGTGTGTGTGTGTTGGAGTGAGTTTGTAGGGCCCTGTGAGTGACAATACAGGTGAATGCATATTCAATAGGCTTGTGTGCATACATTGAGTTATTGAGCTTGTTTCAGCTGATTTCATGACAGATGAAAAACTATCTGTTAACCTTCTATTCGGGACTTATTTTATTGTGCTGATCAACAACATTTGCGTAGAAGAAGCTTATTCATATTTTGCGTTATGGTTAGCATATTATCGCAAACAAGGTACTAGGATAGTGAATTTATGTTGGCAAGGAAAGTTAGCCTACAAAGCTGTAAGCTACCGGTATATTCTTGCATTGTAGTGTTCTAGCCTGTACTGGACATTGTTTTGGGAATAGTAATTAACAGTTTCAACATTTCTACATGCTGCTTTGCATTATCAATGATGTATATAAACCCTAGATTGCTGATGATATGTATTGGCCATTGAGAGGCTTTGAAGCCACCGGCGGCCATATTGTCACTCCCCAGTAGGAGCAGTCCTCCATAGGAATGAATGGAATTCTACATTATTTCAATTAAATGTTTCAAGGACAAATAACATGTACACCAAACAAAGATATAAACGCAACATGTAAAGAGTTGGTTTCATGAGCTGAAATAAAAGATCCCAGAAATGTTCCATACGCACAAAAAAGCTTATTTCTCTCAAATTTTGTGCACAAATTTGTTTACATCCCTTTTTAGTGATCATTTCTCCTTTGCCAAGATAATCCATCCACCTGACAGGTGTGGCATATCAAGAAGCTGATTAAAAAGCAAGATCATTACACAGGTGCACCTTGTGCTGGGGACAATAAAAGCCCACTCTAAAATGTGCAGTTCTGTCACACAACACAATGGCACAGATGTCTCAAGTTTTGAGGGAGTGTGCAATTGGCATGCTGACTGCAGGAATGACCACCAGAGCTGTTACCAGAGAATTTAATGTACATTTTTCTACCATAAGCCACCTCCAACGTTGTTTTAGAGAATTTGGCAGTATGTCCAACCGGCCTCACAACCGCAGACCAAGTGTAACCACGCCAGCCCAGGACCTCCACATCCGGCTTCTTCACATGCGGGATCGTCTTGAGACCAGCCACCCAGACAGCTGATGAAACTGTGGGTTTGCACAACCAAAGAATTTCTGCACAAACTGTCAGAAACCGTCTCAGGGTCTTGACCTGACTGCAGTTTGGCTTCATGCTCACCTTCGATGGCCACTGGACTGGGACAGCCCCCCTGGGCCGGTGACGGTTCCTGTCTTGTCACTAGAGAAGTGTGCGCTTCACGGATGAATCCTGGTTTCAACTGTACCGGGCAGATGGCGTGGTGTGGGCGAGCGGTTTGCTGATGTCAACGTTTTGAACAGCGTGGCCCGTGGCAGTGGTAGACGTGTACGACACCGCGTTCCAGTTCCCGCCAATATCCACCAACTTCGGACAGCCATTGAAGAGGAGTGGGACAACATTCCACAGGCCACAATCAACAGCCTGATCAACTCTATGCAAAGGAGATGTGTCGCGCTGCATGAGGCAAATAGTGGTCACACCAGACACTGACTGGTTTTCTGATCCACACCCCTACCTTTTTTAAAAAGGTATATGTGACTAACAGATGCATATCTGTATTCCCAGTCATGTGAAATCCATAGATTAGGACCTAATGAATTTATTTAAAATTGACTGATTTCCTTATATGAACTGTAACTCAGTAAAATTTTTGAAATTGTTGCATGTTGCGTTTTATATTTTTGTTCAGTGTAGTTTGAAAGTCACTGCAAAAGATTAACACATTCTGCCCAGACCTCTACAGAAATGTGATCAAACTTGCGATTCCACTTTCGTTTAGATTCAGTTCCAACATTTCCAAATCATACAGCAAATGATGGCGTTTTTTTGCTACCGTAAAAGGTGAATGGAGGGCGTTTTCCAGGCGGGGTTGTAACGCTCGTTCACGGGCGCACACATATTATATTTCTCTGATTTATCAATGAAAACAAGCAAATATGTTTTTTTTTTTTTTTTGGGGGGGGGGGGGGGGATATATATGACCAACAGATGCATATCTGTATTCCCAGTCATGTGAAATCTATAGATAAGGGCCTAATAATAATAACTGCATTTCAATTGACTGATTTCCTTACATGAACTGTAACAGTCACATCTTTCAAATTGTTGCATGTTGCGTTTTTATATAGTTTACATGTTGTTGACATAAACTATATTTGGTCTCCAATGTTTATTGAAAACGTAAATAAATTTGCACAATGAGGTTGTTTTCTCGTTACAGTTGTTGGTTAGCTAGCTAATGAATTTGAGCCATATTAGCATTGACATGAAATCAGTCAAAACACCTCAAAACAAGACATGGTATCAAGAACAAGATGAAACGAGCCTCCACATGTCAGTCTCTTGTCATTGTTGGTAGCTATCTGGCCATCCAGAATCACAACAACTCAAGGACTTCTGTCCCATTTTGAAGCGATTGGCATCGTTTTCGTGATGTTGTCAACTCTAAGCCATCTGTAGCTTCCAAAATATTTTCTACAGTGGAGGAGTTCCAAGATGGCTTCAATACAGCGCCCCCTGCCAGTCACCCAGGGTTAATACACATCACAAGTGGTGGCGCCCCCTGCCAGTCATCCAGGGTTAATGCACACGTGGTGATGCAGCCTAGACTCCAGTGAGTTCAGTGGTTCCCTCATGGCAGACTCTCTTAACAATGAGTAAGTGGAGCAGGCAAGAGGTATGAACGGTGCGCTCCCGTTTATAAGGGGACATCGGCTGAGCTGAATGACAGACTTGATCCTCTCTCAATCAGTATATGACATGAGACACAAAAATTATAGTACCGAACCGTTTTTCATTTTCTATTAACGAAAAAGTACATACATTTCGGTATACCGTGCAACACTATTGTAAACAATGCTATATTTTTAATTTGTAATCCCTGCCCCCGTCCCCGCAGGAGGCCTTTTGCCTTTTGGTAGGCCGTCATTGTAAATAATAATTTTATTGCAGAGTTCCTGAACCTAAAAACAAGTCAAACACTGATTGTAGGTAATGGATGAAAAATGATCTTAGTACTACAAAGCTTTTGGGAAACTCACCCCTGTATATTTTGCCAATTTGACATAGGCCTTACATGTGCAAACCAACAGTTGATTGTCTGTCTCAGACCCCAAAAAGACAGGCTGTTTCACACTTCCATCTTGTCAAATTATACAAATGTACACCGCATGAATTCACTCAGTAGAAAAGACCTTCAAAGTTGTCAAACCAATTGCCTATAGGCTATATGATTGTCTACCAGGGGTTGAGATCAATTCTATTTTCACTCAGTCTAGAATTGCCTGTTGTCTACCACAGTACCATGCCAACTAAATCAAAGCCTGTATATGACTGTCTTTTCTCCCACAGTGCCATGGACATCAAGGAGCTTAAGGTCCTGGACATAGTGAGCGGTAGAGGTGGTGTGGTTCAGAAGATCAGCGCTCCAGTGTCGGTCCCACACAGAGGACACCACAGGACCCAGGAGAGGCTGGCTTCACCACAGCAGCAGTGCTCTAAAAGTTCTGGAGATAAACACCTGGAGGTGCCAGGCCAGCCCAAGGGCTTCCGACGGAGACACAACTCCTGTAAGTACCGGCACACTCCAGGGTCATCATGTTCATTAGGCGTCAATAGAACCGGCACACTCCAGGGTCATCCTGTTCATTAGGCGTCAATAGAACCGGCACACTGCAGGGTCATCATGTTCATTAGGCGTCAATAGAACCGGCACACTGCAGGGTCATCATGTTCATTAGGTGTCAATAGAACCGGCACACTGCAGGGTCATCATGTTCATTAGGCATCAATAGAACCGGCACACTGCAGGGTCATCATGTTCATTAGGCATCAATAGAACCGGCACACTGCAGGGTCATGTTCATTAGGTGTCAATAGAACCGGCACACTGCAGGGTCATCATGTTCATTAGGCGTCAATAGAACCGGCACACTGCAGGGTCATCATGTTCATTAGGTGTCAATAGAACCGGCACACTGCAGGGTCATCATGTTCATTAGGCATCAATAGATTCGGTTTTCCATTAAAACAATATGAAAAGTCCATAGAATTCCATGTGAATTCACAATGCAGCTGTGCTGCTGCCAGCAATGGTTAGGGTCTCACGGTGCGTCCCTTTCAGATGGTTTGGGTCTCACGGTGCGTCCCTTTCAGATGGTTAAGCATTGCACCCGTACTACCATTACTGTACCTCAATTCCACCTCACAAAGTCTGCATTTCCTTCTCATTTAACTTCTCACAGTATTGCCATATAGGACTTCACTGCTTTCGCTTGCCTTTCCCTGACATTTTTCCGACTGTTAACGACGATGTTGTAGAGGTGGCGTCGACTCCAAAATAATTGATTCCTCGACTCCTTGCACGCCGACTCCTGCATTAATACTGCATTATAGGACTGAATCATTTAAAGGGATACTTCAGGATTTTAGCAATGAATCCCTTTATCTACTTCCCCAGAGTCAGATTAACTCATGGATACCATTTTTATGTCTCTGCGTGCAGTTTGAAGTTGCCGACCTAGCGTTAGCTCAATGACTGGAAGTATATAGTAACCGCTAGCATGCTAGTAGATACCATAGACTTCCATTCATTGCGATAACGCTAGTTAGCATTGGCTCGCGAAACTACCTCGAACTTCCTTCATACTGGATGCAGACATAAAAATGGCATCCACGAGTTAATCTGACTCTGGGGAACTAGATAGGGCACTGGTCACGGCTGGATATGCTGCGCTTCCACTCTCCAAATCTATGCCATTATCAACTTTGTTACTGTTAAAAGACCTGCTTTTGGTAGGTCTTAAAACGTCCCATTAGCGCTGCATGAAACTGTCACACTTGCGCTTGTTTTTAAAGGAAAAATCCACCCAAAGGCACTAATTCCTATAATTTACAGTGTTCAATAACACTGTGAGAACAATCTTTTTTCTTAACAAAGGTTTCATTTTATCTTTATAATAAGGTTGGTTAGAAACATATAAAATCATTGTGGAAATCTGTTGCAGCTCAAGTGGACTACAAAATCCACAATGCAATGCTTTCTCTATGGGCTAGATGGCTAGCTAGCAAGCAAACGTAGCTACACACAATAGTACCAAGGTCAATATCAGCATGTGAAGTAGCTAGTTAGCTGTAAAAACCCCATAAACAAACTGCACTATCAATTTAGGAGTCTACAATCTCACCATGTTCATTCGCAACGGCCATACATTACATTTACATTTACGTCATTTAGCAGACGCTCTTATCCAGAGCGACTTACAAATTGGTGCATTCACCTTATAGCCAGTGGGATAACCACTTTACTTTACAATGCCCTCGTTTGGGTGTAGGGACTGATCAGAGCCATACAACGGCACCATGCAATGCAACTTGGACTGAAGAGGCAGACCAATAGGAGGAATGTGTTAGACCCTGGACTGAAGAGGCAGACCAATAGGAGGAATGTGTTAGACCCTGGACTGAAGAGGCAGACCAATAGGAGGAATGTGTTATACCCTGGACTGAAGAGGCAGACCAATAGGAGGAATGTGTTATACCCTGGACTGAAGAGGCAGACCAATAGGAGGAATGTGTTAGACCCTGGACTGAAGAGGCAGACCAATAGGAGGAATGTGTTAGACCCTGGACTGAAGAGGCAGACCAATAGGAGGAATGTGTTAGACCCTGGACTGAAGAGGCAGACCAATAGGAGGAATGTGTTAGACCCTGGACTGAAGAGGCAGACCAATAGGAGGAATGTGTTAGACCCTGGACTGAAGAGGCAGACCAATAGGAGGAATGTGTTAGACCCTGGACTGAAGAGGCAGACCAATAGGAGGAATGTGTTAGACCCTGGACTGAAGAGGCAGACCAATAGGAGGAATGTGTTAGACCCTGGACTGAAGAGGCAGACCAATAGGAGGAATGTGTTATACCCTGGACTGAAGAGGCAGACCAATAGGAGGAATGTGTTAGACCCTGGACTGAAGAGGCAGACCAATAGGAGGAATGTGTTAGACCCTGGACTGAAGAGGCAGACCAATAGGAGGAATGTGTTATACCCTGGACTGAAGAGGCAGACCAATAGGAGGAATGTGTTAGACCCTGGACTGAAGAGGCAGACCAATAGGAGGAATGTGTTAGACCCTGGACTGAAGAGGCAGACCAATAGGAGGAATGTGTTAGACCCTCTGTTAAATTACACATTTCTCGAGGTAGGAATATCGCAAAAAATATGATCAATGGCTCATTCGAGAAAAGACAACCTCCCACGTAATGACATCGGCCAGTAATAAAATCTAAAAAATTTTGCAATCTAAAAGTCGTATTCCTATTAACTTCCAGTGTAGTGAGAATGGCTTTGTCGCAATGCTACGTCTTATCGGCCCAATCTCTGACCTCCTTGAACAGCAATAGCTTAGATACACATGAATACATGAAATTATCCCGGGAGTCGATAGAACATAGCGACAGAGCACATAGATGAACAACAACAATATAACAACATTATTTTCTTTTAAGGAGACACCTCAAATATTGCCACCCCTCCCACCTCTGATGTTAGACAGTGCGCCAGTTTTTACATTACGAAATTGCAAACAAACTTGACACTTGCGCCAACACTAGTTGCAAACTGTTGTGTGCCCTAATGAACACGACCCAAGTTTACCTCTTGTTGAGGACCAGAGACTAGTTAGCGTTTGGTAGATACCTACTAGTGAGGATGGTAGTTGACCAGAGACTAGTTAGCGTTTGGTAGATACCTACTAATGAGGATGGTAGTTGACCAGAGACTAGTTAGCGTTTGGTAGATACCTACTAATGAGGATGGTAGTTGACCAGAGACTAGTTAGCGTTTGGTAGATACCTACTAGTGAGGATGGTAGTTGACCAGAGACTAGTTAGCGTTTGGTAGATACCTACTAATGAGGATGGTAGTTGACCAGAGACTAGTTAGCGTTTGGTAGATACCTACTAGTGAGAATGATAGTTGACCAGAGACTAGTTAGCGTTTGGTAGATACCTACTAATGAGGATGGTAGTTGACCAGAGACTAGTTAGCGTTTGGTAGATACCTACTAATGAGGATGGTAGTTGAATGAAAATCATCAATTCATTACATTTCCTGATTGCATATTGTGTCAGCAGTCTCCGATTTTCTAAACTGCTTTTGTTTTGGGGTATCACAGGGTCGTCCAGTAGTCGGGGCGCCAACCAGGTCACCCCCAAGAAGAACGGCGTGAAGAACGGAGGAGGGGGTCAGAGGCAGCACAGGGACGATGAGTGTTTCGGGGACAATATGGACGACGGCCTGGACACAGACTTTGACTTCGAGGGGAACCTGGCGCTGTTCGACAAAGCTGCCGTGTTCTCGCAGATCGACGGGTCGGATCGCCGCGGTAACGGGGCCCGGTCGCACGGTACGCCGCAGGAGCAGACGTCGTCGCAATACCGCCACGACAAGAACATTCTAGAGACCAAACCTGTGGTGTACAGGCAGATAGCTGTCCCACAGCCTGGGGGTAAAGAGTATTGCACTGGTACGCATCTTCTCTTTTCTTTTCTGGGGCGGCAGGTAGCTTAGTGGTTAAGAGCATTGTGCCAGTAACCGAAAGGTCGCTGTTCTAATCCCCGAGCCGACTAGGTGAAAAATCTGTCGATGTGCCCTTGAGCAAGGCACTTAACCCTAATTGCTCCTGTAAGTCGCTCTGGATAAGAGCGTCTGCTAAATGACTAAAAATGTAAAAAAAATGTGATCTACAAATGAATCCGATTTTAGATTATGCTTATTCTTTCCGTTCGTTTGAATTTTCTTTATTTATTTCACCTTTATTTAAGCAGGTACTCGTGTTTAGAACACAGTCTCTTTCACAGATGAGCCCTGCGTTAAACAACAATTACACTGTACATATCTACACTGAGTGATCCCAAACATCAGGAACACCTTCCTAATATTGAGTTGCACCCCCCCCCCCCCTCCCTCAATTCACCGGGGCATGGATCAAGGTGTTGAAAGCGTTCCACAGGGATGCCGGCCCATGTCTACTCCAGTGCTTCCCACAGTTGTCAAATTGGCTGGATGTCCTTTTGGGTGGTGGACCATTCTTGATACACACGGGGAAACTGTTGAGCGTGAAAAAAACCCAGCAGCGTTGCAGTTCTTGACACAAACCGGTGTGCCTGGCACCTACTACCATACCACGTTCAAAGGCACTTGAATCACCCTCTGAATGGCACACATACCCAATCCATGTCTCAGTCGTCTCAATACTGAAAAATCATCCTTTAACCTGTCTCCTCCCCTTCATCTACACTGATTGAAGTGGATTTAACAGGTGACATCAATAAGGGATCATAGACTGACAAGGTGAAAGTTATGTCACGGAAAGAGCAGGTGTTCATAATGTTTTGTACACATCAATTATACAATACATAAAAAGCAGAACACAATCATGTGAAACAAACACTTCTCTTCATTAAAAAGGCTCTATAACATCTGCTTGAATTGCCCTGGAGCCACCGAATCCACCAGCTTTAAATACTTTTTTGGAGATCATTCCACATGAGAGGCGCAACATTTTTATAAAAGCAGAATTCCCTAACTGGGTGGTGGGATCTCCAGGGTTAGCCATCCCTGAGTCCTGTCTGGTAACTTCTTATACGTCCGAAGGTTAACAATGAGGTAAGGTCTGGCGGAAGTTTATGCAGGAGGGCTTTATAGACAAAAAAAGAGTGCAATGCATCGATCTACGAGACTTCAAGGAGGGCCAGCCTACTTTTTTGATACAAAATGCAATGACACTGAACGAATCGGCCACGATAATGCGCTATGATAAACTGCGTCCAATGGCTTCAATACAGCGGCAGCTGACTTCGTATAGACGAGAGAACTGTGATTAGTGCTGTCGGTCGCTGCCGCTCTTTCTAACCAGCAGAAGATGAAATATCAATAGTCTTTAACTTTTAAAGTGTTACCTGTCTGTTTATTCACAGCCAATGTCCCTCTCTGTCTCTCTACCCTCACCCTCTGTGTTTCTCTGTAGATTCAGGCCTGGTGGTGCCCTGTATTTCCTATGAGCTGCACAAGCGTCTGTTGTCAGTAGCTGAGCGTCATGGCCTCTCATTGGAGAGGAGGCTGGAGATGACAGGTGTTTGTGCCAGTCAGATGGCCCTGACGCTGCTGGGCGGGCCCAACAGGTAAGCGCACATCCTTCCACACCATGACACGACTCATAAATAAACATTTGTCGGGCGTTTTGAGACCTCCAAAAAGTACTCTAAATGAGTCCATGTCCCAGGCCATCTGTTTTGTAGATGCAAGTATTTACAATTCAAGATTAGCACAATGCTATTTATAGATTTGTAGTGCTTATTTTGTCCACTTATTTGGTGTTGTACAGCGTTATCAGACTAAGTTAAATGGTTTATTGGTTTGTATCCAATATGTATTGCTAGACACACAAAAACCGAATCATCTTATGATGCATACTGCCTCTACTCCCTCCAGACTGACCCCTAAGAAGGTCCACCAGCGGCCCACGGTGGCCCCACTCTGTGGCCCTCATGTCCAGGGAGCTCAGGGCATCACATACTGCCTCTACTCCCTCCAAGACGTCAAGCCTAACCCTAACCTTTCATTCATTACAGACTGACCCCTAAGAACGTGCACCAGCAGCCCACTGTGGCTTTACTCTGCGGCCCTCATGTCCAGGGAGCTCAGGGCATCAGCTGTGCTCGTCACCTGGCCAACCACGAGGTGGAGGTCATACTCTTCCTGCCTAACTTTGTCAAGGTGCTGGACGCCGTCGCCAGCGAGCTCAACCTCTACACCAAGACAGAGGGCAAACAGGTCTCCGTTATTCAAGGTGTTGGATCAATTGTTGGATCAATTGTTGGATCAATTGTTATGAACCAGTAATCTGCTGTTTATGTAGTGGTAGGACTCTAGCCAGCTCACCCTCTGCACCAAGACCGAGGGCAAACCCGGTCTCCAGTATTCAAGGTGTTGGATGGATGTGTCTGTTCTGTGTCATGGAGTTTAGGGTTAGTCGATGTTACGTAATGGTAGGTCAGGTATTCATAATGCCAGTAATCTGTTCCTGTCTATGTCTTTATTATCAGGTGTGAGCAAGCGCTCTCTGTAAAGGGCATGCCCTCATCTAACGGACGGTTTCCTGGTTCAGACACAGGTTATACCTAGTCCTGGAAAAAAAAGCCATTTTAATCTAGGTCTTGGGTTAATCTGTATAGAAGAGGAAGAAACGTCCCAGAATGTTAACCTTAAAGTTACAATGTTTCATCTCATCTCTCTGTCCTCCTCCCAGAGCTTCCAGACAGCCCTGTGGACCTTATCATCAACTGCCTGGACTGTCACGAGAACGCCTTGATTATGGACCAGCCGTGGTACCAGGCCGCTGCGGACTGGGCCAACCAGAACAGAGCTCCCGTGCTCAGCCTGGATCCTCCAGTCGGCGGACAGGGCCATGCCGTAGAAGCCAAGTGGACACTGTCTCTGGGCCTTCCGCTGCCGCTGTCGGAGGATGCAGGCAGGGTCTACCTGTGTGATATTGGGGTTCCCAGACAGGTGTTCCAGGAGGTCGGGATCAAGTATCATTCTCCGTTCGGTTGTAAGTTTGTGGTGCCATTGCACTCTGCGTAACTGAAGGGTTCGAAATACACATTGACTCTTGGGCGTACCCTACATCTCTGGGGCGTACCCTACATTTTGTTATGATAAGTAATTTGAACTGTGTTTTAACTGGACTGCAACCTTTGACCTTCAGATTGAACTTTGAGCTCTCACCCTGACTATTCAGGGTAGTGTTCAGTATGCGCGAAAAGGAAGAAAACTAAAAAAAATGAAATGAAACGAGGAGGTTAGTATCTGAACTTTGCTTGTTGGAGTGCCCTAATGAACGCGACCCCAGTTTGGGGGATTTGACTACAAGCAAGCCTTAAATTCATTTTATTACTAATGCAGTTATATGTCCAATATACATTCATACAATCCTTTTCCAGGATTGAACCAAGGAATGAGAGGAGAGGGATTATGATGACGCCCTGAGACATGGCTGTTAACTATGACTATATCCTTTATAATATAGACTATATCCTCAGACAATGTTGGGTTCCAGAAACCATGAAACCATGAGGCCGAGACAGAAAAACTAACCACCAGTCAGCGGCCTGCTGTCGATGTGGAGAGCCCATCTCATCCAGATCAGCAACCTCCGTTTCTGTGGAGGGTAAGAAGGTAGGTTATCGCTACGTGTACTGTCTTGGGTACAGTCAAGTGATTCAACATGTCCAGGGGAGCAAGTACGCTGCCGTCACAAGGACAGGAACCGTCACAGGCCCAGGGGGCTGTCCCAGTCCAGGGGAGCAAGTACGCTGCTGACAGGACAGGAACCGTCACAGGCCCAGGGGGCTGTCCCAGTCCAGGGGAGCAAGTACGCTGCCGTCACAAGGACAGGAACCGTCACAGGCCCAGGGGGCTGGCCCAGTCCAGGGGAGCAAGTACGCTGCTGACAGGACAGGAATCGTCACAGGCCTAAGGAGTCTACAGCCATGTCTCAGGGCAATAGGATTACTTTGTTAGATGTGATCTCAGAACAATTGTCTTCTTTTTAGTTGATCTTTTATTTTATGTTCTGTTCCCCTGCGGATGTAAAACAAAATCTGCTTCCTTGCCTCTACTAACTAACGTCATGGCATGTTATTTTCTGATAATGTGATGAGTATAAAAGGGTGCCTCAGATCACTCTCTGTTGGTGTCTTGGTACTGCTGTAGACCAAGCCTGAGCCTATTGCCTGTAGATGGCACAGGAAAGGTTGGAGGGATGTTTTGCTCAGTCTAATACAAAGACCTATTATGTCCTCTCTTAGTGAAAGTTGTGTGAAAACAGTCATGCAAAATGTTACCGCAAGATGTCTGCTTTCTTTGGTATGTAAAGGTGAGACACTCACTTGATGTGATCCTCTTTATCTTCTACCTCTGGATTTTACAGTCTGTACAGAGACTTTCCTGTCTTTACAGATACTTTCCTGTCTTTACAGATACTTTACAGTCTTCACATATACTTCACAGTTCTCACAGAGACTTTACGAAGACTTTACCGTCTCTGCAGAGACTTTACATTATTTGCAGATACTTTAGTCTTTGCAGAGACTTTGCAGTCTTTACAGAGACTTTACAGTCTTCACACATACTTGAGTCTTCACAGAGACTTTACAGTCCTCACAGAGACTTTAGAGACTTTAGTCTCTACAGAGTCTTTACAGAGACTTTCCAGTCTTCACAGAGACTTTCCAGTCTTCACAGAGACTTTCCAGTCTTCACAGAGACTTTACAGTCATCACAGAGACTTTACGGAGACTTTACAGTCTCTACAGATACTTTACATTCTTTTCAGAGACTTTACAGTCTTTGCAGAGAATTTACAGTCTTCACACATACTGTATAGTATTCACAGAGACGTTACATTCCTAACAGAGACTTTACAGAGACTTTAGTCTCTACAGAGACTTTACGGTCTTTACAGAGACTTTGCAGTCTTTACTGAGACTTTGCAGTCTTTACAGAGACTTTGCAGTCTTTACAGAGACTTTACAGTCTTTACAGAGACTTTACAGTCTTTACAGAGACTTGCCTAAACCAAATGTCAATTAGTCTACAAAACTAAGCAACAATTTGCATCATTCTACTACCTGCACTTGAAGTGATTGCTGTGCAAAGAGGATATGTCTTTGTGTTTCAACAAACAAAATATATAGCATTTTTACATTTTTTAAACATTTTAGTCATTTAGCAGACGCTCTTATCCAGAGCGACTTACAGTTAGTGAACACATATATATATTTTTTTTTATACTGGCCCCCCGTGGGAATCGAACCCACAACCCTGGCGTTGCAAACGCCATGCTCTATCAACTGAGCTACATCCCTGCCGGCCATTCCCTCCCCTACCCTGGACGACGCTGGGCCAATTGTGCGCCGCCCATGAGTCTCCCGGTCGCGGCCGGCTGCGACAGAGCCTGGATTCGAACCAGGATCTCTAGTGGCACAGTTAGCACTGCGATGCAGTGCCTTAGACCACTGAGTGGCGCAGTGGCATGACATAACATGATATTTATTTTGTTCAACCTTTTGGTTGAGAAGGAGATCTGTTGCCAATGTGATTTCCTTCAGTTTCAAAGTGCTAATGTGAACAAGCTCAGTTCTAGATATTTCTACAGTACATTTCTACATGACGGCTGTAATAAGTTGTATAATGAGGAAATGGTTTCAAGCAGATATTTGTGTTGATATGGGCAGCTGGCAGGGTTGAAACGTCACCTTGTCTGATATTTCCACTTTGTATTTATATTTTTCAGTTTTGAGTTGCCTGCATGGTTGAGAGAGAAAGAGCACTCCCCACGTCACATATCCCTTTTAAAGCTCTCCTGCCTAGATGCTTATTGTCGTTGATACTTGTATCGATTACATGTCAAACCATTTGAATGAAACTTGTTTACACATAGTTAAAGGGGTTGTTCTCACTTTAACTTCTGTCAATGGTTTCCATACCATGATGGGAGTGGCCTAAAAGTAATGCTGTCATGCTGTCATGCCCAGTGATTAGCAGATCTTGACAAATCGAGAGCTTGGGACTACAAGGTTCAATCTGCATAAATATGATTCTGAGAATAATTGGCTTGAAAGTTCCGAACCCTCATTGGTTTGAATGGTGTCAGCAATTTGTATCTTGTATTATTTTGAACTTAACAACATGAATTGGGGGTATTTTAGAGCACTATATAGGTAGAGAACATGGAACAGAACAAGGCTATGTCAATAACTCAAATTTGACAAAAATGCAGATGGAACCTTCGTCCCAAGCTGTCGACGTAGTTTTTTGAGTGAACTTCAAGAGCAGCTTACTGCGAGACTATGAACTGCCTTATGTTTAAAAGGTGGTGTGAGAATATTGTTTTCAATAATCAAACCCATTTATTTTCTAGAGAATGGGAAGGCTAATAGTCTCTGGATCCTTGTTGAATAATGTGAGGCTGAGGGGGGTACATCTTAATCTGCAGATGCGGGTTGGGTGACCGTCAAACCCTGACTCACTCATTTCCAGCACTAGAAAGAATCTTCTTTTAACACTTTTTATGTATGTTAATGTAATTGACAAATAATGTCAGATTACAGTTTATCAATTTCCTATGCATTGATGATAACTTTTACATTTTAGTAATTTAGCAGATGCTCTTATCCAGAGCAAGTGAGTGCATACATTTTTTTTTTCATATATATATTTTTTTCATACTGGCCCCCCTGTGGGAATCGAACCCACAACCCTGGCGTTGCAAGCGCCATGCTCTACCAACTGAGCTACACGGGGCCCATATAACCTCCCCATGGCCAAATGTGATTGTGTATGTAGTAGTCTCGTGCTCCAGACTTCTTCCCCAATAGCCTGGGGACGAGGTTATGACTGCAGTGACTGAAGCTGTTGGTCTGCATTGTGCAGTGTTCTGCACACTTGGGGTAAGCAATTGGGGTTGAGTCCATGGTTGAGCCCCTCTGTGTGGATCTACTGGCCTTTTTGAGGAGTAGCAAATCAATGTAATTTCTATTCAAACCATAGGGGCTGGTTTCCCGGACACAGATTAAGCCTAGTCATTGACTGAAAAATAATTTTCCGTGGAGAATCTCCATTGTGCTTTTTAGTCCAGGACTTGGCTTCATATGTGTCTGGGAAACCAGTCCTAAATCTCATGTCAATATGTCTGGAACATTAACCCTGTTATTCTGTCACTAGATGACCATGGGTTGAAATGCTTGTATTGGATGGATAATAATGTATTGGATGGGATTGCTTGAACTGTAAAGCAATAATGTTTAATGTTGCAGAAGATGTTAGGTGTTGCACCATCATAGAGCGGAACATTGATACATGATTTTCTCTTTAATTGTTTTTTTTTTGGGGGGGGGGGGGGGGTTAAGGAGTGAAAATATTTGTTTATTTGGGGGGTGGAAATGTTATTGTTATGGTGATCAAGCGATCCTCAGTGTTTAAAAGGGATCTTTTTGTTTTTATTTTTCTGGCAAAATGCATTCAGTAGACTCAAGGGCCCAGATTCATAAAACCCCTCAGTGTAGGAGTGCTGATCTAGGATGATTTTAATCATAATGAATACGATATATTTTACGGGCCCAGAACCACAGGATCCCCCCCCATTGTTTTTATTTGCAGTAATTGTAATTTTTGATCACATTTCTATCCATCAGTTTAATTTTGGTCTCATATCGTCCTAAAGACGGTGAGGACATTTCTATTTGAGTTTGTGATCCGTTCTCTGACTGATGTTGACTACCACAGTTCTAACACTAGCCAGTGTCTGTTTGCGAATGTTTGGCATGACAATTCCATGAAGAGTTGGCCCAGAGAGCAGAAACATTTACATTTTACATTATAGTCATTTAGCAGAACGCTCTTATCCAGAGCGACTTACAGTTAGTGAGTGCATACATTTTCCATACTGGCCCCCCGTGGGAAACGAACCCACTACCCTGGCGTTGCAAGCGCCGTGCTCTACCAACTGAGCTACAGGAGGCCTGTAAAAAACAGGCTAATGAATACATTATAGCCCTGTCTCAAAAAAACATTCCAGTGGTGTGATGCGGTTTACATTGTCTAACTGAGGCAGGGGGAACTTTGGTATTTACAAAATGTGAAAAGGTCAGCTACTGTCAGTGACAATATTTACCATCCATTTCTATGGCCTTGACCTTTTTTTTTTATATAGCATCTATTCCCTATTTTATAGTGCACTACTTTTGACCAGGGCCTATATGTCTCTGGGGAAAAGTAATGCGTTAAATAGGGGAAAAGGGTACCATTTGGGACGCTTATCTAGGTATTGTAAGGTAAACGCAAACTCATCTGACTGCTTTGGGATGATTGATTGATTCACATCTGGGCCATGCTCTGTTGAGTTACAGGAGATAGTATTTTGTAAAAAAACATTTATGCAAAGGCCTTTTATGAATGTGAAAGTAGGCATAATTAGTTTTCACATGGACAGAGTTAAGGCAATTGAACGTGCCATAATGGAGAGACACCAGCTTCCAGAGTAGTACCACCATGCAGTGAATATTTACATTTACGTCATTTAGCAGACGCTCTTATCCAGAGCGACTTACAAATAGGTGCATTCACCTTAT